AATGTTTTAATAAATATTTTACAATTAATAGCAAACCATAAACAAAATCTACTGCAAAAGCTAAATGTTGTAGAGAACCTTGTGTATCAGCATCTGCTGGGGACTGACGGGTTAAGGAGCAGTTCTGGAGAAAGTGACCTGAGGGTCCATGTGTGCAACAAGTGGATTTAGAGCTGTGGAAGGGAAGGTTGAGGGATGGAGATGGAGAGGGGTGGGGGATTTAGTTACCAAAGGGAGGCCTCGTCTACTGGCATATACAGGTGTGTACACATGGACTAGTATATGTTGACATGGAAATACAGAGCTAGGTGAACCTCACACAGCCCAGAGTAGAAAAGATATCTAATGCAGCACTGTTTCAGCTGCACAAAATGGACCATCCAGGATGGAACTTGGTACATAAAGTCTTTTATTGATTTGCAATTAATATAGGTGGCATTGATCCACTGATACGGGGCATGGTGGTTGATCACGCGAAACTGATGAAACAGAATCAACTACTTGTTGAGGAGCTCCAGAACCGCCTTTTTGAACAGACAGCGGTAATGGGCCTGGATCTAGCAGCCCTGAACATGCAACGGGGAAGAGACCATGGCCTTCCAGGTAAGGAGAGACACGTCCACATGTCCTGTGAACAATACTCTTTCTTCTGCTGCTGTTTATGGTAGTTCCACAAATGTACTAAGTTTTTTTATGCCAATAGGAAGAAACGGTACCTTGATTTGAGGGTGAAGGATGGATAGATGGTTACACTTAGGGAAGGCCTCTATATTATAGAGATCTTTTTCTGAGGGATTTAAGATAAGGACAAAGGGCTTGGAAAGCAAAAATGCGAGTGGGGATAATGTAATAAAGAGGGGTAGAAACTATGGTGTATTACAAAGACAGAGCATGTGGGGTACAGAAGGTACAGATGCAGGCATCCAAGTTCAGCTTTCACGTGGGCCAGACAGACCATCTCTGCTTTATTTGTTGCCCATTGGCATCTGTTTTGTGCCTTCAGACAACCCAGAGATGCGAGCAGAAGTGGCTTGCACCCACAGGTATGATTGCCCCAGGCACTGGAGAAGGGGTGCTCTTGAATTAAGCACAAACAGTGATTGCTCTTTTCTAGGACTTCAATCCTAGAAATTGTGCTTCCCAAAACTGCAAAGACTGGAGCATTCACCCTCAGCACTAGGTAGCTCTGACAGGATGCGATGAACCTGGAGTCACGTGGAAAGACAACCGAAATTGTTAGTTTAGTGAGTGCATACAAAAAGGACTTTGTAAACATGGCATTTGTTGTGACTGTCTAGACAATAATGTCTTCCAGATCCTTTTATGCCATGAGAAGAAGCAGACGTTGCTCATGGGCCAAGGGGTCTGTTTAACCCGAGCCAAGGTAGATGGTGGAGTGAGATGGGTCCTGATCAGCTGCTGTTCCTGCTTTTGCAGGTTACAATGCCTGGAGGCGCTTCTGTGGGCTCTCCCAGCCTCAAAATTTAGATGAATTTTCTGAGGTGTTAGGCAATTACAAACTGGCCAAGAAGTTCATGGAGTTGTACGGAACACCAGACAATATTGACCTCTGGATTGGGGCAATTGCAGAACCCTTTGTTCCCCAGGGCAGAGTTGGACCCCTCCTGGCCTGCATCATCGGCACCCAGTTCAGGAACCTGCGTGATGGGGATAGGTAGGTGGCTCTGAGAGAAAACTTCCCCCATAGCATTTATTATGGGAAAAAACACTGACATTTTATGCAACACACTAATCCAGCCCATCTCCAACGTGCTGGTGACTGCTCTCTGCAAGGCTCACAAAGCTCAGTTGCCAAAGGCCTTTTTTTGCAACCTATTCCTATGGACCCATGGGGTTGAGGAGCACCAGCTCCAGGCCATGGGTGACCTGCAGTAATTCCTGCCTGAGGTGACATCTGCTCTCAGAGCACAGAAGGGGAAACATCAGTCACGGCATCCCAGCAGCCTGGAGATGCTTGTATGGAAGAGGCAGGCTCTCTGCACTGGCAGATGAGTGGCAGAATCCAGACCTGGCCACACTGAAGACACCTCTTTCCAAAAGGGTGTTCCTGCTGTCTGATGTATAAAGGTGGATCTGAGCAGACATTCACCTTGGTCAGATCCCCATCTCGTCAAGTAACCGGCATTAAATGCCTTCAAGGAGAATCTAAACTGCCTGTAAAAATGCCATTGCAGATTCTGGTGGGAGAATCCGGGGGTTTTCACTCCGCAGCAATTGAGTGCATTAAGAAAAATCTCACTTTCAACGGTGATCTGTGACAATACTCGTATCAACAAGATACCCAGGGATGCGTTCAGGTTCAACAGTTATCCTGAGAACTTCATTGACTGTCATGAGATCTACACGCTCAACCTCTCACCCTGGAAAGAGGAGCCTGGGAGTGACACAAAAGGTAAGCAGTTGTTTGATATCTGTCAAAAATAATAAATGCCCTACAAATCCAGACCTTTCCGTGCCTAAAGAAATAAAATAATTAAGGTCATCCTACTGACTCTGCCCCTAAAAATGCCTTGACCATCCATTCAGCCCAACTCAGATACCACTGGTGGCAGAGATGCTGTTAGCACAGTCCCCTTGCAGTACATTGCCTTCATCATCCCTTACTAGCCTGCCTCTTCCTCTTCAACTCAGAGGGAAATCCATGAAAATCCAGTCTGTTCTGGTCCTTGTGAATGCATCTTTCTCTAAGCACCTTATTCCAGGACAATTGGAGTCTTCCTTCACAGGAACAGTGTCCATGAAGAAATCAATCAGAATTCTTACTTCGTTCCTCTAAGCCTCTGCTCTTCTCTTGCTCTCCCTAAGGCTTTAAAGCATTTTAAGGTATATCTGCAGCTTTTTTGACTCTGTATGGCCTGACACACCAGTAGTTTAATGCATATAGTCAGAGGTTATCATGTACCACATCCTGAAAGATGGTAAAACAGTGTCTCCATATAAGAGGTGTGGACACTAGCTGTGTCCTCCTACTGATACGCTTTTGGCAGGGGCTCTTCCAGTTGAACATGATTTAGGGGGAACAGGGACTTGGAGAAGACAGGTACAACCTGAGCAGAATGGACTGGATTGAGATTTTTCTTCTGGCAACCCATTTATAGATGATCATAATACCTGGGGATCACCAACTCTGTCCTACTGCAAGGCACAGACCACAAAGCATCTCCATGGAGTTCCTGTATTGAGTTTGATAATCTATTTGAGACAAATAGCTGCTGCTTAAGAAAGATATTTACACTTGATATAAAGGCTAAAGTATGGTGACTTCACCCCATTCTTTAGGAACTGAGTCCAGCTGTTGCTCATTTTTTCTTTAAACAATAGAGGCTTCCTGATTTCTTTTATTAACTTAGTTTAATGGTCACTAAAAATTGCTGAGCTGCTTCCTGTGGCTTTTTTTTATCACCAGGCTGGGAGGAAGCTGAACTGTGTTTGCATAACCCAGAGATGGTGAAATCCCAGGGTGTTAAAAAGCAACTGCTAAAAGTGTAGCCTTTTCAAGTAGCAAGAAATTCCCCCAAAAGTACTTGTCCAAAGAGCTGTCTGATGTTAGGTCACTGGAGGTACTTCTTGACAAGGCTGGAAGCACCACATTGTCTCAGAGGTAGAAGGATACAGGGGTGACCTGGTAAGCAGTTATCCATTCATCAGTGACTATGGTATGGAGTCAAATAAATATATGGAGAGATATACTGTGTCGTGAAAATACTTTCTGCTGCTCAGTAGCTTTTTCCACTTCACTGAGAGTTTCTAATCCTGCTCGTCAGGTCAGCCTTGGAAACTCCTGACGAGGCATTGAGCTGCTCTTGGGAAACTGCTGCCTGTACATCATGCTCAGATGACTGCTGCCCTCCAGATCTTGGCATGTGATTGCCCAGAGAGGAACTTAAGACTGTGTCTACTGTTTTATTTGCTGTATAGTGATTTTTATTTCATTCATTTGCAAAAGCCTCCAATAATGTAACATTTCAGACAGAAGGGTAGTGACATTTTACTGTCCATTGCCCTAAAAAAGTGTTCAGAGTTGTGCAAGACTTGGTTGGGTGCTGGATGCTTTATGACTCTCTAAAGGCACAATCAAGACAGATTTTTTTACTTCCCAGCATGAATGCATGCCAACTCTGGAGATTGGCATGTTTGCATTTCAAAATCAAATTACTTATCCTTTGTACCTACTCAGAAATTAGGAGGTTCATGTAATCTTTATAAAAATTTTTCTTATTTCCTTGTTTTGCATACAAACTCTTTAGGCAGTTGCATCTTGAAGCCTGGAGACATCTTTTATTAAATCCTATAGTGAATGTGTGTGTTTGTGTGTGCTGGGCAGTAATAAAATACGTTATATGCCCTCATCTACACATGCCATCAACTCTGGTATACTGTGTGTCCAAAATGTTCTTTGGCTGCGGTTCATAGCTAAACGTATCAGCATAAAAAAGCAAACCAAAATCTGGCTGGTACATAAACCACAAGCATTTGGGCTAAGAATGAATCACCTGGCTGGGATGATCACTTCCAAAACCATACTAAGTCAATAAATACAAAACGCATAAAAATCATATTAAGTTTCTATCTCTCCTTGGCACTACTGGGAGGGGAGGAGGGGACTGGGAGAAAGAAAGCAGCAACCTAAGGTAGAGTCATGAGTAAAGCTTCTGGGTGGACTAGGTGCCTCTCTGATGAGGACTAATGAAGGAGATCCTTGGTGAAAAACCCAACATCAGATGCGTGTGTTGCCATGGGAGGGTGTGCTCCCAAGTCTTGCCTGTCCCAGCCCAGAAGACCATGCTGCCCACCCATGGCCTGGGGAGCCCTCAGGAGACCTCCAGGGCTTCTGGGCCCCCGGAGAGGGATGGAACACGGGGACTGTGCTGTTCCATGAGCCCCCAGACTGTGGGGAGAGGGGAAAGGCTATGGTGACCCGGGCAGAGGAAGGCAAGACGCCATCCTCTGACACACAGAAGACAGGGAAAAGCCAGGCATTATTCAGAAATCAGGAGCTGCAGCTCCCAGAGTGTATTTGGACATATATATATAGGTTGTGTTAAAAATCATGACATTATTAGAGCACAGCAAAGATGTAAAGTAACACATTTCTGCTGTTTGCCTCTGGTTTCTGAGTCCCCAGGCATGTTCCCCTTACACTTTCAAGATCTGCCCAACTACTGAAAGCAAAATTTTGCTTTGCTTTAAAGAAAGGCTATAAAAAGCAAACAAACCACCAACCCCTGGAGACCCACGTAAAGTCTTTCATTCCCCTCTCGTGGCAGAGGTACACCCAAATCTACCCCGCAGAAAGAGGCAGGAGACAGCGCCTTCTCCTGAGTGTGCTTCTAGGGGAATGTGGCAGCCCTTAAGCCCAGAACAGCCACTTCTCCAGGCAGGCTGGCCATGGGCTCAGGGATAAATGCCTCCACCTTGTTGGTTTGGAATAGGAAAAGTTGATTATAAGATGCTCACAGGAAGGGTCCAGCTCTGCCTGGGGTCCAGCTGAAGAGAAGTTCTCAGGGTTAAGATTACAAAGAAGTGTCCAGTTACCCACTGTGTGTCTGTCCACACAAGTGGCAAAGTTCTCTGGAAGGAACAGGGCAACCATTTTACCACCTCCACTTACAAGCTTTTCTTCCTCTGTGGATGTTTCGCCTGTCTCTGGTACGGCAAGGTTGCAATCCATTGTTAACTCTGATTCCAGATCTTTTTGTGGTTGCCATGCCCTCCCCCTCAGCTGCTACACACACATCTGGGGCTGGAAGATAGGATTGCTAATGAGAAGTCCCATTCGTCATTCCTGATATGCCCTGATAAGCAGTGAGCATGGCGTCACGGACCTGCTCAGTAAGCTTGGGAACATCGTCTGGACCCAGGCCAACAGTATCCACTTCTGGCAGGATCTGGATGATGCTTTTCCCTGGAAGAGTGAGACAGGAGGGTCAGAGACAGGGGAAGGAAAAATATGCATGGTGTAGAAGAACAAGAAAATATACAGTGAAGGGATCAGTACAAGTGAAGGAACCAGAGAGACATCAAGAGAGATGTCCTCTTTCATACACCAACAGCTGGGCAGCAACCCAGCCATGTCCCAGATGCACAGAGCAAAAATTCAAACCAGATTTTTCCCATCCACAGAGACCACAAAAATAATAAATACAGAAACAGGTGAATCTCTCCTCAAATGCATTCAATGCAATGATTCATATCAAGTAAGCGTTCACAGTGGAAAAACCTCAGGATCCGTCTGACTCACAGCCAAGAGAATGAGATGTCTGTAATACAACACATCCAAACTGGCCGTGCTCTGATCTGTGTATACCAAATTCAGCAGAATCCCTCCTTCCAGAAACACACTTTGAGATGAGGGAAATTGAGCCCAAGACTCATCTCATTGGCCTGGTGAGTCAATACTCCTCCTGGGAAGCTCCACTGAGGAATGGACTGGTGCAAACAGGAAGAATATATTGGGGAGCTATAAACGTGCTCTTCTGCCCTTGTACCCAGTAGCCTCTTTTCTGTCCAGTGGAGACAAGACGCTGCCTGCAGAAACACCCACCTAAGAATTTGGGGAGTGTCTGAGTTATTTTTTAACTGTCTTGCATGTGTGCTAGGAAATGAGACCCAGAAATGTGGCAAGAAGAGCCGTGCAAGGGAGGCAAAACAGAAGAGTAGAGAAGGGCTTCACTAAGGAAGAGGGCATGATCTCTGCCTGCACATCCTACATCCAAAGCCAGGTCTGGTATCTCAGGAGTCTACTCTGCTTCACTTGGTCCTACAGAAAAGCTGACTGATGATGGGGCTATGCTGAAGAGGCAGGTCTGCTGGGGTATAACACACTTCCAGCAAGCACCAGACTTCTTCCATGCATGACGCTGAACACACACTGGACGCAGAGTTGATCCTTCCAGAAGCTCATCAGCATGCCCAGAGCCACTGTGGACATGACGAGCTGTCCTGACCTGAGGAACAGCCTGCTCAATGCACAGAAATCTTGGCCATGTCTTCAGAATCAGCCCTGGCAAAACTTGCAGGTGGGAAAAGTGGGAAGGTACAGGAAGAACTAACTGTGGTTCTTCCTCCAGTAGTGAAGGTCCTACTTGTTTAACAGCAATTAAGAAAAGGGCTTAGAGGTTAGATAACCACAAATTCCCAGGATAAAGTTATTATAAAGGCAAATGTACATACAATTGCAGAGTTTTTCCTAAAAAGCTCAGAGAGGTTGTGAAATCTCCTTCCTTGAAGTCACTCCAAACTTGGCTGGACAAGGCACAGAGCAAACTCATCTATCTTTGGAGTTGGCCTTGCTTAGAGCAAAAGGTTGAGCTGCTGCAGAGTTCCCTTCCCACTGGGTTGTTCTCTGATTTCCCAGAGGACTCCTCTGTCTTGGTTGCCCAAATGAGCAAGGGATGTGTTGGGGAGGAGAGGGCTAGCAGAGCAGGGCTGACATGTCTGCTCATGCTCCAATCAACCCCACCATGGGCAATGCTTCCAGTACCAAATGCCTTTGATGTGTGGCCAATGGAGACAGGATAGACCCAGAAGGTGAAAGATGAGTAGAATCAGGCAACGCTGTTACGTGTTTGCACTGACTCTCTCTTCAAGGTGTGTGTCCTGCAAGGAATGACTACACCCAGGTACAAGCAATGGGAGGAATGAGAATTTCAGATGCAAATCCTCCCCTTAGGAAAAGACAGGGCTTGCTTTGGGGAGGGTGGGAAGTGGCAGAAGCCCATTTTGGGGCGCATCTCAGGGAAGGAATTGGAGGAACAGAATGGGTTACTTTCCTCTGTTGGAACTGGAAAGATTTTTTCTGCATTTTCCTTCTGAAGTCCATGACTTACACCCTTTTTTCCCCATAAAATTTTATCAGTTACCAGCAGAAATTTTTTTCACCATAAATTGATGAAACATGGAAAGAACAGGGTAACTGGGAAGAAAAATACCCTCAGCATAACTTTTTCTGAGAGCTCCATGTTTGCTATTGATGCCCAACTCTCCATGCACCTGCAGATCCAAGGACAGCATGGGCTCTGCCCCAGGACTCTGCTGTTTCTCCAGGTTCCCTCATATGGGTATTGGACAAGCTGTGAGAACAGTCTAGACTGTGCTTTTGCCAAGAAAGGTCAGACCAGATGATGCTTGAGGTCCCTTCCAACCTGGTATTCTATGTTTGAAATATAAGGGGAGAGGCAAAAGTGATGCCGGAAATCCCCCATTCCCTCCCTCGCCTTCTGAGAAGACAGAAACTGCCATTTTCCTGCTGCTCTCTCCACATCACACGTGGTCCTCTGCCCACCTTATGGTTCTCTTTAAGGACTGAGCTTGCACCAACAACCTGCCCGCTCTCTGCACCAAGTCATCCTTACCTGGTGTAAATCTCTTCTCCTTCTGGTTGTAGAAGTCCTGGTAGGAAGAGATCACTACAGGAATAATGGGGACCTGGAAGGGAGGAAATCTACATTGAATTTACACATTTCCCATTCCTCCCCCAAAACAGAACTTGTGTTCTTAGGTGAAACCTGCACATTGCTGTAATTATCCCAGTCAGCTCTATAGTAGGTTCTCAGAGGGATATTTAGATCATTCAACTGTATCACACCATGTCCTCACTGTTAATTTTTGCACTTTTCTCTCTATATTTAGGCCAACAATGCATGGATTACCAAATCAGTATGTACAGAGGCCTGTTCAGCAGAAATTCCCCCACTGTTTTCCCAAGCTGTGTCATGAAGATTTTTCACCTGTCCCTGAAACAGCCCATCCTGCTGGCTCTTGGATGCATGCTTGGTCCAAAGGGAAGCCAAGGACCAGAAGCCACATATCCCTGGTTACTGGTGGACCATGGTAGGCAAACTGCACCCCCAGGGGCAGGAGGAAGATGACTCTTACCTGGGCTTTCACAGCCAGCTGGAAGGCCCCACGTTTGAAGGGCAACATGGAGCCACCATGATTGCGAGTTCCTTCAGGGAAGACCAAGACGCGGAACTGCAGGAGAGAGAAGACATTGAGATAAAGGGACCTCCAGTTACTATTCTAAACCGCTGCACGGATGTACTCCCCTGGGACCGAAATTTTTTTCACCATAAATTGATGAAACATGGAAAGAACAGGGTAACTGGGAAGAAAAATACCCTCAGCATAACTTTTTCTGAGAGCTCCATGTTTGCTATTGATGCCCAACTCTCCATGCACCTGCAGATCCAAGGACAGCATGGGCTCTGCCCCAGGACTCTGCTGTTTCTCCAGGTTCCCTCATATGGGTATTGGACAAGCTGTGAGAACAGTCTAGACTGTGCTTTTGCCAAGAAAGGTCAGACCAGATGATGCTTGAGGTCCCTTCCAACCTGGTATTCTATGTTTGAAATATAAGGGGAGAGGCAAAAGTGATGCCGGAAATCCCCCATTCCCTCCCTCGCCTTCTGAGAAGACAGAAACTGCCATTTTCCTGCTGCTCTCTCCACATCACACGTGGTCCTCTGCCCACCTTATGGTTCTCTTTAAGGACTGAGCTTGCACCAACAACCTGCCCGCTCTCTGCACCAAGTCATCCTTACCTGGTGTAAATCTCTTCTCCTTCTGGTTGTAGAAGTCCTGGTAGGAAGAGATCACTACAGGAATAATGGGGACCTGGAAGGGAGGAAATCTACATTGAATTTACACATTTCCCATTCCTCCCCCAAAACAGAACTTGTGTTCTTAGGTGAAACCTGCACATTGCTGTAGTTATCCCAGTCAGCTCTATAGTAGGTTCTCAGAGGGATATTTAGATCATTCAACTGTATCACACCATGTCCTCACTGTTAATTTTTGCACTTTTCTCTCTATATTTAGGCCAACAATGCATGGATTACCAAATCAGTATGTACAGAGGCCTGTTCAGCAGAAATTCCCCCACTGTTTTCCCAAGCTGTGTCATGAAGATTTTTCACCTGTCCCTGAAACAGCCCATCCTGCTGGCTCTTGGATGCATGCTTGGTCCAAAGGGAAGCCAAGGACCAGAAGCCACATATCCCTGGTTACTGGTGGACCATGGTAGGCAAACTGCACCCCCAGGGGCAGGAGGAAGATGACTCTTACCTGGGCTTTCACAGCCAGCTGGAAGGCCCCACGTTTGAAGGGCAACATGGAGCCACCATGATTGCGAGTTCCTTCAGGGAAGACCAAGACGCGGAACTGCAGGAGAGAGAAGACATTGAGATAAAGGGACCTCCAGTTACTATTCTAAACCGCTGCACGGATGTACTCCCCTGGGACCGATCTGTCTGCTCCTGACCATGCAGAGACATCCAATTCCTCCACTTCAGGCACTCTAAGAACACACAACACACTGAACCCACCAGAGATGCTCTTATTCTGTTTTGCCCAGTGCCCAGCCCATACAAAAAGATCCATTTCCAGCCGCATCAAGGTTCAAAAATATTTTCCAGTGGCTCCTCACCAAAGAGTCCTCCCTACTCACGTTTTCTTTGTGCAGAGAGTGTGCCACCTCTGTCAAGGTAGTGATTGACTCGTCCCTCTTCTTGCGATCAATGAAGATGAGTCCTGACAGCCAGCATGCTAGGCCAAAAGTGCCCATGTATAGGATTTCCTTCTTTGCAATGGGCACACAGCGATTTGGTAACATCTCCATCATCACTGGAAGGGGAAAACATGGACAGAACAAGTTGTCATCTGCACTGAAGTTTCCTCCAAATTCTGGACTACAGTCCTCTCCTCTGGGACATGCCATACCTGCAGAGCTTATCCAGCTTCATAGGATCAGAAAGATGTTGGGAAAGGGATTCTGGGAGTCTCCAGACTAACTGCCCACTTAGAGGAGGGCTATTGTTGACACCGAACGACAACAGCTATGACACAGCTATGGTCAACTGACACTCTCATCCCCATTCTCTTGGAAAGGATGAAGCTGATTTAGCTTGAAAATACCTATTGGGCTCTATTACCCTGAAGAACAGCTCTGTTTTGGGACTGGCTGGTAATGGACTGTGTAGCAGCTGCTCCTGCCCCTCTGTCTGTGGTAATTGGTATTTTGTACTAACTTCCCCTACAAACACCTGAGGCTGGGGACAGGAGGAAGGATCACCACGTACCCATAATGTCAAGGGAGGTCTGGTGATTCAACACAAGGACAAAAGGTTTCTTAGTCCTGAGGTTTTCCTTGCCCTTCACCACTATCTTGATCCCAAAGATGTATTTGAGAGGCAGCAGTGACACGCGGAAATACCTGTGGGAAAGGAGAGCAGACATAAGCCAAAGAGATGGTGAAATTGGGTAAAGGAACCAAACATCATTCTTCCAAACCAGCTCACAGACTGCCTCTGCAGCCTGTTTCTCTGCATTCCTAGATTCGACCCGTGACTTGGAGAAGAGCAACTAGTGCATGTTTTCAGCTCATCCCTTCATTTAAGAAGACAAATACACCTGGTGGGTTTTCTTCAAGCCAGGCTAGACCAACGGCCAAGCAACTTCAGCTACAGCAATTCTGTGCATCAGCCAAATATTAGCTAATGCCCAAATTCATAGTGGTCCTGTTTGTACTCTACTTCCCTGCCCACCTTGCTGAATAGCAAACACATGCCGTACACCGAACTCTGCTATTGCCTGTGCTGTGGAAAGAGAGATTCTGCCCCTGGGTGACATTAGACTGCAATTCTAGTAGCCATACTTTAGCAAATACTAGAAAAATAAATAAATAAATAAAAGTGAGACACAAAAGTAAAAAACTGAGGAAAATTTCTTAAAGTGGAAGGCTGATGCTCAGTTAAGAGATAAGAATTCCCACTGCAGCATACAATGATAAAGTTGTACATCCTGCCTCTGCAGCACTTCAGGAGGCTGCAAGCACTATTCTGCCCTGTAGCCAGGTCAGCTTCCAGCCCCCACTCAGCCCACAGCCCAGGTTACTAATGCCCATTGCTGCTAATGACAGGTGTACACCCAGCCTCTGGGTAAGTCTGGCAGCTCCTTGCAGAGGCAATAAAGAGGGGATGGGCAGCAATGTCTGCTCGTGCCTGATCAGGTGGGCACTGGCTCAGAACAACGTTGAGAAAGAGAGGAGCACCTGTGGAGGCTTTCCCAACACATCTTAGAAAGGGAATGACCAGCCACATGGAGGAGGGAAATACAGCTCTGAAGACCAGCTAGGAGTAAGTAACTTTACCCATGCATAACATCCAGCTTGTTGGCATTACCTAGTCTGTTAAATTTATATTTTACATCCTTTCCCTCCATCATTCATTATTCTTTTTATCAACTCAATCACAATACTGAAGCCTACATCTCTTCTCTGAATCGCAGAGCCTGGCAACTCTCCACACCGATACACAGCTAATTGCTCCCCACTGCAGTGCAATTCCCAGGACCCTCCAAAACAGACCTTGAGTTGACCCTACCCGTGCCCAGAGCAGAAAGAAGCCACAGACAACTTACTTCATGTTTTCCACGTTACGTCCGCGAGGAATACTCAACACAATAACCAGAATGCTTAGCGTGAAGAGCCACAACTTATAGAAGGTCATCTTGCAGAAGTATCTGAATGCAGGATTCACCTGGTAAAGGACTAGAAATGCGATGAACAGAAAAGTAAATGGGTAGTGAAGGAGTAAAAGCTCCATCCTTCCAGCTCAGAGTTAACCAGAAGAGTGTTGCACAGAGCAGTAAATGAGTCACGAGCACCCGATGTTGTGCAGCAGTTTAGATTCCCTTGATCAGCTACAGGTGGGTGGTGCAAAACTGGAACGAGATTTGGGAGCTTCAGAAGGGCTGTGTTGGCTCCTCAGAGCTAAACTAACCGTGGGAAGCCGGTTTAGCAAGGGATCTCCAGCAGCACGGTGTAGGAGCTGGCTGGCAAGCAGGGCAAACAGGCAATAGCAAGGCTGCCAATGTGCAGGGGGGTGTGTGGCTCTGGGCTGGTAGAGCAATGACTGCTTGGAGACACAGCTCCCCTTTGGGGGGGGTCTGTGCATCAGAACACTGAGAACTTCTACAAAAATTGTTACCAGGTGGGAGTGGGTTGTGTCGGATGCCACAGACACTAGTCAGTCTCTGTGCAAACACTGAACTTCAACAAGTGAGCTGGCTGCAAGATGTCCAGGAAACCAGAAATTAGTGTTATGGAGGAGAGAAAGAGAAAACCAGTGACCCAAGCAGCCGGCTCCTGCCCCATGTGCCTAGGCATTAGAGAGGACCAAGCCAAGCAAGTGGACATTCCTCAAGTAGAGTGGGAAAAGTAGAAAAAGTGCCATATGTCTAGACAAAAAGATAAACAAAGCAAGAACAGCTACTCCTGATGCTTTCATGGCCAGAGGCAGACACATGTTTAGACACATCTAAATACGTAAGAAATAAATCATGAAAATGCAAGTATAACCTGGGAGTGCTCCAGCTGCATTTCATCTCCTAAAACCACTGCATGAAAAGGATCTTTGCAACAAGTACAGTGACTAGGCTGAAAAACAAAAGTTTCGTGTTTCATCATCTGCACGAGAGGCCTCTCACTTAAGAGGAGCAATAATATTAAATTCCAGCCAGGACTGAAAGCTGAATATTCTCAAAAGGGAATGAGGAGTTCTGAGGACCCATAAACCCACATTGATTGTCACTTGTGACATAAAGATCACGATCAAATCCCCGAGGGCAGTAAAATGGAAAAGACTCAGCAGTATTTAATAGGAAACTGGGGAAATTATAATAAAGGCATTGGCTGTGCTCCCTGCTGCCTTGGCTTAGCCAGGGGCTCATCATCTCCTGTCTTTAATGGGAAAACTGGAGAGAAGTGACTGAATGCTCAGATCTCCCGAGGTTTCCCTGCAACCACAGGAGAGGCAGCCAAAGCAAAGAGCTTCATCCACAGCCTCTTCACTGTCCCTGCACCAGCATGTGGAAAAGACAAGCACCTTGTGCGCACACATTGGTCCCAGGCACTGTGACCCCTTTGTGCTGGAGCTGCAGAGATGAGCTCCCTTTTGGAAACAGTTCGTAGAGACCAGCCATGGATGCTTTGTGCTTATCCAAGGCCTGATCCAGCAAACAGTTACTTTCTTAATGCCTATTTACTTTCCTAATATCTCATCAGTATCAGTTATGGCCTTTCACAGTTGGGTGGAGGTTGATTTGACATGCAACTGATTCATCCTGACCTACCAGGAGAGAGGTAAAGTCAGTTTGCCATGGTGTCAGCTGGGATAGGGTTAACTTTTTTACTAGCAGCTGGAATAGTGCTATGTTTTGGATTTGGGATGAGAAATAGTGTTGATAGCTCGCTGGTGGTGTTAGTTGTTGCTGAGCTCTTAAGGCTTTTTCTGCTCCTCACCCCACCCTGCCAGCAATGGGCTGGGGGGCACGAGGAGCTGGGACAGGCCAGGACAGCTGACCAAAGGGACATTCCATACCATGGGACATCACGCTCAGTATATAAAGCTGGGGAAGAAGAAGGAAAAGGGGGACGTTTGCAGTGATGGCGTTTGTCTGCCCAAGTCACTGTTACACGTGATGAGCCTTGCTGTCCTGGGGATGGCTGAGCACCTGCCTGCCCATGGGAAGTGGTGAATGAATTCCCTGTTTGCTTTGCTTGTGTATGCGGCTTTTGCTTTACTTATTCAACTGTCTTTATCTCAATCCACGAGTTTTTTTCTCACTTCTTCAATTCTCTCCCCATTCAAACTGGGGAAGTGAGTGAGTGGTTGCATGGTTCTGGCTGCCAGCTGGGTTTAAACCATGGCCCTGGCAAGTGTGGACCAAGAAATATAATCCTCTGGATGGCTTCATGGCTGCTGGTGAGAGCAGACGTGTTGTGCAGCAATGCCATCTGCTGCCACCAGCCGCTGGTGAGCTGAAACCTCTGCAAAGAGCCGCAGCGGGTTCAGGGACGCAAGGGATGCTGCTCTTTACTTTCCTCATGAGCTTTTCCTCACTTTTACTCTTCCCTATTGCAACTCGGGGAGCGAGGGAGTGGTTGCGCGGTCTTAGCTGCTGACTGGCATTAAACCAGGACACAACCAAAGGCTGGAAGCACAGCCATAGCTTTCAGATCAAGCCTGAGTTTGTCAGGCTCCTAATGCAAGAGGAGTATCTTACACAATGACATGGAAACTCATGCAGAACATCTAGGGACAGGAAAGTGTGCAAATAGGAATTAATCACAAACTACTGAAGACTTTTAAGTCACTGACAGTAATTTACAAATATTTCTATCAAGGCTGTAAGGAAATTGTGTTCCCGCAGTGTACAGTGTACCACCAAGCAGGTACTAAGCTGAAGCAAGTCGATGTCTTACCCAAAGGAGCACAGCAACCCTAAAATACAGCTGGTCTACAAGAACACAAGATCCTGAATCTGAGGGAAAGACAGAAAAATGTCTCCAGCACAAATGGCAGTCCCCACGTGGTCAAAACAAAGCATAACTAGAGAAGGACCCACATAAGCAGATTTACAAGTGTGAGTACCTGTTAGACCCTCGTGTTGCAAATTTATGAGAAGAGTTGCTTCTCCATGGCACCACTACCACCACTGAGGAATAACCAATATCGGCTGGGCATCACCAAGCTGCTCCATGGAGAAAGGTTACTCCACACAGAGCACTGTGGACAGACACAATCTCAAGAAGACATTAGATCTGCAAGATTTTGAAGCTAAAATAATGGTTATTTGGGGCTACAGCTGCTAAGTATCTCTGATGAGTATGGGAAAAGGCAAGGACATAAAGAGATAATAAAAATTACGCCATTCCCAACTCACCATGGAGAGACAGTCAGCTCAGATCTAACAAAACTCTTAGGCTCCAAACCCACAGATACCAAAATCCTCAGCTATAATTTTCTTCTGTTGCAAGGCTCCCTAGCACCAAGATCCATCATGCTCCCACGTCAAAAGCCGTCAGGTCTTGCCTAACCTGTAAGGTGTTTCCAGAAACTACAGCACTAATGAAGCTCCCAGTTTCCAGAGCAAATGTATCCATTCTCAGTTGCCTCCCTTTTGCCCCTGGGTCTTTGCACCTTTTTCAGAACCTGGCCCAATTTAAGTGAATCTTAGATAGGAAGAGGAGGGGCTTGCTCATATCATGAGCTTTCCTCATGCAGCTTTAATGACTCTCCTACTCACCAACTCTAAACCACACATTGGCCAGAAGAGAGAGGAGGAGGCAGGGAAGGTGATCTAATCTAATTGGAAAAGGCTAAGGAAGTTGTCTTGTTCACAATAGATGAATGAAAGCTCAGAAGAAAATTGACTGTCAATACAGCAGCACTGAAGAGAGAGAAGAGTTGCTTAAGCTGATGATCACAATTGACTTTTAAATGCAAAAACAATGATTTCAGGACAAAAATAACAGGGCTGGATTCTTAAATGGGAGCAATTTCCATTGGAAACTGCTGACAAAATAGCTCCACTGGAACAAGCTATGAAAGGGCAAAGTGTTGGGACTGCTCAGTGCCAAGGACCACATCAGCCACCCAGTATTTAATAGGAGAACAGTACTAAAGGGAACTCATCTAGTGCATAGTTACTATGCAGTTCAATAGTGGCATTAACACTGATATTAAAAACTTCAGAGGGATTCCAGGGTAAATATATTAAAGACAGGTCATTAGGGCTGAGGAAACTATATTTGTCATGTTTCAGCTGCAGCTCCATGATGATTCCATGCATCACTCAGTTTTACAAGGCACAGATTAGCTTTGGATACCTATTTATGAACAAAGACATAGCTGGGAATTTTCATAATGACAGGAGAAGAGGAGTTTCTCATGAAGATATCTGTAGCATCCAGACAGCCCTGACAGAACAGAATGTGACAACCTAGAGTAGCTTGTGCTCTAGGACTTACATTGAAGGGGCTAGTACAGGCAGGCTAGAAAATAAATCAGTTTATCACTTTAATCACAGAAAAATTGGAGTGAGGAGGGACCTCTAGAGTCCAACCAGCTACTCAGAACAGGGTTAACTCCAAAACCAGATGAGTTTGCTGAGGGCCTTGTTTAGGCAAGTTTAGAGAATCTCCAAGAATGGAGGTCCTATTAGTTCTTGGGTTCCTGTGTCCACATTGCACCACTACCATGGGGTAGTGGTCTTTGTCTAATGGGGATTTCCCTTGTTGTACCCTAAGGTGTCTCTTAGCTCTTATCCTTTCACTGTGTGCCTCTGAGAAGCACCTGGCTTCATAGCTATTCATTAGGAAGTCAAAGACTGAAAAGAAACCAGCCCCCTCTGCCCTTCTCTTCTCCAGACTGAGCAAATCCAGCTTCCTCAGCCTTTCTTTGTACATCATCTTCTACCGCCCACTGACCATCTTGGTAGACCTGCACTCCAGTGGGATGTAGTCATCACTGAGAGAAGGTCCTGAGCAAGATGGAGACTCAGGATCTGTTCCCAGAGCTGAAACAGCTGGGGAGTCTGAAGATGGGAAACAAAGTGAATGAGAGGCCCTGACAGAGCTGGAGAGAGAGCTGCATTTCAGCAATCTGCAGCAGAGGCTGAACAGGGCAAATGGTCCCATCCCAGCTCCCGCAGGATGTGTTCCCCATTTCAGTGGCTCCATGGCCAGGGAAGGCACTCTCTAGGCAGTCCTATTGCAACAGCCCCCATTCTGCTGTCCATCTCCAGAGGTCCCTTCCAATCCCATATCATTCTGCTGTACATGCATTTCATCGGTTTGATTAGGCAATCAAGCTGATAAACTAGATTACATTTTCCAAATTTCAGCCTTTTTGGCTAAAATTGGAAAAATAGGTCCTCTGTCCTTAGTATATGCAGAAAGATTTGAGCCAGTCATTTCCTCTCCCTTAAGTTAATTGCTGAAGACAACAGGTAATGAATGAGACCCCCTCTGTTCCCAAGGGGCTGAACAGATGCTGGAGGTGCAGACATTGGGTAACTAATACTAGAAAACTAAAGCTAGAGAGACTGAAACATGCATCCCCATGTAGTTGGGCATTTCACACCCATCAAATCTGTTGACTAAGCCCTTGTGTCTCTCAGCACCAGGAACTCACCCAAGAAACAGTGGGCTCCAACCCACTCCTAGCGTGAGTTTGCATGCTTTCTGCCTTCGGAACATGCCTAGGCTTATGTCTATCAGCTACACACCCGGGACGTTACACAGCCCCAGCATCCCCCCTCCACCCTGTCCAGGGGCTGGCAGAAGTCGGTATCTATGCCTGTTCTTTTTCTCCAAGGATCTCATGAGGAGTCTTCCCATTTTGTGTGTGATAAGGAGGAGATTATTGTCAAATAGTTGTTGGAAATAAATCTGCACCAGCCCCTGTCTCTGAAGAGAATTTCATAGAGCTACAAGACACAGGAGTACACATTAGAGACTTCAGCAAGTAATATCTTCTATCATTAAAAACACACATGTTCTTGAATTTGCTATGTCCAATATCCCCATACAAAAACTACCACCTGTGATTAGCGTACCTTTTACAAAGTGCAAGGAACATTTTGGTCTCAGCTCAAAATTGCAATTTATTGATCAATAGTGGTTACACAGTGTCAGTGAAATCCCGAATAAATCTCTTAACACCAGTGTAGTCTTAAGAAGCAGGTATTCTTTTTATTTGGCCCCGGGGACGTGGGGGATCTCTCCCCCCAACCTGTCCATTGAATGAGAGATTCACAGAGACTTATATCTATACAGAATATTTGAACTCATGATAATATTCACATCATGCCAGCACACAGACATTAATCTGGTTAGGGGCTTCATGGAAGGTCTTGGGTGGTCCCTAGTGGTGTTCCGTGGTCACCCAGGAGTGAACTCCAGGTGAACTCTTGGTTGTTCTTTCCATATGAAGCCTTGATGGAGCATCCTTCTGTTTGTCACACTCTTTGGCCACTGTGGCTGATAACTCTTTATGTGGATTGGGGAAGACAAATGCAGAAGCTTTTTGCAACTCCTCCATTTATTTTGCAAGCTTGTGAAGTATTTCTTTCTGATGGCATTGTTCACTGTTTGTTCTTGCTTGTGTTTGCGAAAGGTGCCCTTAATCCTTTCAGTTACACATTTACATATCCTCTAGAATCGCAGTTCCTGCTTGTAACAACAGCAAACTACAAAGGAAGGGGAAAGCTGTTTTGATCCATTTAAAGCAAAGATATTGAGGGGCCAAAGTTGGAGTAAGACCAGGTTAGCTTTAACTTTCTTGTGCTTTAAGACTGTTCTTATCTTTGCAGTTCACATCCCACCACCTCCACTGCCCAGAGGGAAGGCGCTCTGGCTCATGCCAGGCTGCAGGAATAACTTGTCACAGTTTTCCATCACACTAGATGGTGCCTTAGGCACTCTAGACTAAGGGCAAAAAATGATGAGAGAATAGCTTTCTTCCAGGTGGACAATTTCTTCATTCCGTATTCAAGCAAAACCTGACACAGGGCATTTTAAACAAGTCTATTTGGAGTGCACGAGAGCTATCACTGTTTCACTCACAGGTACTATGAAATCAGTAGATTTTCTCTGGAAACCAAAGTGCATATTTATTTTTTTTACACAAAAAATATTGGAGAGCAAGAGTAAGAAGTTATTCCAGTGCCCCAATATCTTTCTATGCAGGTTGGAAACTTTGAAAGAAGGGTCCAAAGTATGTTTTTGACAGTAAACTTTACTGAAACCCAGTGTAAATGAAATTGCCTAAGCCAGCAGTTGAGTTGATTGGGAGTCAGTCTCTGGACAACTCTTTTTGCTTTGCTTTGTGATATTGAGTGATTTGCACAGATCTGGGACATCTCTTATTGCTGGACTCCCTCTCACTGAAAAGGTTTCATGCAAACTAAATTGAGCAAATGACAGCAATCATGCCCAAACATTTCATGCAATAAAAGCATACAAACAGTAAAAAAAAAGAGAGGGAGAGGGAGAGGGAGAGGGAGAGGGAGAGGGAGAGGGAGGGAGAAAGGAAAGGGAGGGAAGGAGGGAAAGTACCAGGTTTGCTTAACAAGTTCAGAAGATCCTTGAAATTAATAAGTCATTCTACTTTGTGGCTTTGTATCTAATAAACTAAATAGTCACCTGGAGAGCAATCCCAGGTGACATACTGCCTCTGACTATGGCAACGTGAGAGCACAAGCTGCACTTTAAGTCAGAAGAATCTCAAAGCAGCTTCTAAATTTTTTCTGCCTTACCGTAAACACTAAATGGTTCCTACTGACTCAAGTATCTAGACTATACCACCATATGGTGGTATGAGGAGGGACTCTTTATCAGGCAGTGTAGCAATAGGATGAGATGTAGTGGTTTTAAACTGAAAGAGTGGAAATTTAGATTAGATAGTAGAAAGAAATTCTTCACGGTGAGGGTGGTGAGACACTGGAACAGGTTGCCCAGAGAAGTTGTGAATGCCCCATCCCTGGAAATGTTTATGGCCAGGCTGGATGGGACTTTGAGCAAAGAAGAGAAGAGAAGAGAAGAGAAGAGAAGAGAAGAGAAGAGAAGAGAAGAGAAGAGAAGAAGAGAAGAATCCATCTCAGTAGCTTCCCAAGTCCAGACTTCTGGGGAATCCTCAATGTTCAGCACTGAAGGTCACCAGAGGCTTCTTTTACCAGATGTAAAAAACAATGTGTTAACAAAAAGGATATACCATAGTTCCCTGTCATTTGTGTGATTTATTTCCACAGGTTAAACCGGAAAAGAGGGACCAATAAGTCCGGCATTAGTCCTGATTACTCTAAAGACCTCCAGGGATCCCTCCTTGACAAGAAGATCCTATGGGTCTCACTTGTTCTGGCACCATGAAGATGGCATTTATGACTGTATGCAGCCAGACTTTCAAGCTGATAATCTCATAGCCCTTTGGAGAATATAATGAACCATCCTCATGGAAGGTGGGAGCGGACAGCAGACAGAGCTGTCTGAGCTCCTAATGATTGCTGTTAGCTGCTCCGTCTCACAGCCTAATGACCAGCCGTGGTCATAAGAGCACGGCAGGGCCTGACTGTCAGAACAAAGGACAGATGATGTTTTGTTAGGAAACGCATCGCCCTAAGGCGCGGCAGCAGCCCAGTTTTCCCAGGGGAGAGCCACTCTTGCCTATGCCCACCTCCCAGGAATCTCAGAGACCATTTTGGAAGAAAAACATGAAACCTCAACAACTTTACAAATCCCGAAGGCACCTGAGTGAAATAATGTAAATATGGGCAAAAAACTTTCCTAGCAGAAGTCAAACTCTCTTCCTTAAGGTGGAAATCTCTATTCAAATGCAGAGCTGCTTTGGGCCCGAGCAGGATGTGCTGACAGCCTGCTAAGACCAGTGCCAAAGACAGACCAGGCATCTAGACAGAAGATCCAGGCACCACTTCCCACGCAGAAAAGCTGGAGCATCAACAACAAAGAGCCAAACTGAAAAGTCTATTAATCAGAAAACTCACAGAGAAACCTCCTCAGTTTGGTCTTGCAATGTTGATGCTGGAAAATATGTGCTGGAAGGAGCTGCTCACAGTGGCCCTGGTGAAATGGAGTATCTAGACCTGTGCTAGATACGTACCTGGCACGTGGGTTCAGACCTGTGTTAAGAGCTCTGTTTTGGAGCTCTAATTATCTCACATTTGCAGGCAGGAACCCTCTGCTGTTTGAAGCTTATACATTGCTCTGTACCTTCCTCAGTCCTCTCCGAATTCCAGGCTGTGAGGGCCAGCTTTGGGATCTGATCACACAGCTCACAAAACCAAAAGGGTATTTGTTGGCCTTGAAGGTGAGTCTCGGCACTTCAGAGATGTGAGTGTTGTCACACATAATTTGTGACAAGAAGGTTTGGGCCAGGGAAGAGCGCTGCTGAGAAGTGAAAAACCACCAAAACCTGCAGGAGAAAGATGACACAACAGATTTCCCCCCTCTGGCTTCTTCACATTCAAGGCTTCTGCAGCATTATTTCCCATTAACAGCAATAACACATTTCTTTTGCCAAGAACAAATTTCTGCTATTTAAATCAAGAGTCCTGACTCACCAGCTGGATAATTTAAATTGCTTTTCTGCCATGGATATATAATAAAAATGCAATTGAATTAAAGCCTTTCCCTGTGTTCCCTTAAATGAGGCACAAGCACCCTCTTTCAAATAGAAAAGTCAGCACATACTGAACGCCAACGGTGGTTACAACCTCACAATTGCCATGATGGAACCAGTCCTATAATTATTGTCTTTTTAAAAAAAGGTTCTTGTCTCCTGCCATAAGGACAGAATTTCTGGATGTGCAGTAGACTGTTTGCCTTTTGTGCCCCATACTGGGTTTTGAGCTCATAGTAGGCAGAAAAAATTCCCAGAAACACTGGTCTTAATCCCTTTTTCAGTTAATACTGATAACGAGTACAAGGACCTTGCTTCAGAAGTGCAGCTTAAAATGGGGCACACAGCTCACTTCTGCACCTGATGCCCCTGAGCAAGTTCAAGGAGGAAGAGAACTTCAGGTATGTTGAAAGCACAACACTGCTCAGGTGGTTTTGACTGGCAAGCAAACCCCCACCCACCCATCTCCTGGTGCAAGCGAAACCCAAACACTGCTACACGTCAGACCACAGGGTTCCAACTCACAACTGGGATGGAAAGGAGAAACAGTGAAAAATCATCTCTAAGACTCCTAAGAAATGCATAAGCCACTGTGATGGTACAAAGCTGTGTATTGCAAACTCATTATAAGGGAAGGTGGAGAGATGTTTGACTTTTGGATGGCAGAGCAGCCCAGAGGGAGAGGTCCCAGAGAGAGGGGATGCTGCCAGTCCTGGGGAAGCAGCTTGGACTTAGTGGCTGAGCTGGAACTTAACCAACAGAGAGCAATTAATTTCTTTTACTCCCTGCAAAGCCTGAAAGTGTGCTAGTCTTTCCCTTGGTCTGCAGGCAAATTTTCAAGATGACCCAAGGCACAAGCCAGCACACGAACAGATGCTGAGCATCTGCTGTCAATTCAAGCCATTCAGGCTGATTAAACCTGACAGCTTTTTTCTAATTGGTGAAGTCAAACCATCCTGGCTTTCCTATCTTTGGAGTCATACCTGTTTTTCTTGCTAATGAGTTTATATGTTTCCCTTTGCTGGAACAAGCTGCTGTTTGAACACTCAGTAACATGGGCTCCTTGAAACCACTTATCTGACAGAGGAGAAGGGCAATCTAATCTGGACAATTAAGGAATTGGCCAAGGGTGAAAACACTTGGCTGGGAAGGGACTTTAGCCCAGGATCTCAACAATGATAGATCTAGACAGGGAATAAGAACCACCAGAAACAGAAAAGAACATTTGGAAGAGTAATGAAAAAAAGAAAAACAAAAAAACCTGGACAGTTTCCAAAGCTGCATAAAAAAATCCACATAAACTCCAGTCGCCTTCTCTCCTTTGGGGTTTGTATACCCAGCTCCTCTCTTACCTGTCTCCATCAAGAGCATTCCTGAACTGGATGACAATGAGACAAGTCATGACAGGCCCAACTTTGCCTCCATTCCCAAAGGACTCTGCAAGTGCCCCAATCCAAATATCAATATTCTTTGTTGTCCCATACAGCTGCATGAAGTTCTCTGCCAGACCATGATTCCTCAACACTTGAGCAAGTGTCTCCAATACAGAGGGTTGTGAAAGCCCACAGAATTGTCTCCAGGAGTTATAACCTGCAAGGAGTTGGGTATCAGAGCAGGCAGAGGTCAGTAATGTGTTTTCCCCTCCTGGAAATATTTTTTCCTCTTTTCCCTAGGGCACGCACAGGTTCCCAATATGTTTAAAATATTTTTCTAAATTTTTCTATATTTCTGTTAGTTCCATTGAATTTCCAGTCCTCCAGAGCCGGTTCATCTTTCCTGGCATTTCAGTGCTGCTGGTGAAAGAGCCATGTCTTTGCAAGTGATCTCTGCTCAGGGGAGTTGCTCTATCACCTTCCAGTGCTGCTTTGCCGTTCCCCTCATCAGTAATCCAAGTGTCTGTGCAGAGGCTCCAGAGCCATGGTGTGTATGAAACAACCTGCTGTGACCAAGGAACCACGGGAGACCATGCCCTGCTGAAACTCAGCAGAGAGCCAGAGGGGGCGTTTCAAATAGCAAAGGAGATCTATGTTCAGGCATTTGCTGGTCCATTTGCTGTGACTAGCTCAGGTGAAGGGTCTGGGCATGCCAAATGGCTGCCTCATTTTCCCTGTGACCCAAGAACCCTAGGGAAGCTCAGGGAGCACACAGTCTCAGGTACCTTCGGACAGAGCCACTGGAGAGAGGTTCTCACAAACTCATTGATGTTTTCTTCACTGAAAGTGAATCTGGACATGTTGATGCTACCTCTTTCTGCAAAACTTGATAGTGGCCAAGTACTTCCCCACAGCTGGTCTCACTTGTGTCTCTGTCTCACAGGGACAAGCCATACCACACTGAAACATAGCCCAAGTTACTTCAGGTGGGAGAGGACCACTGGACTTTGCCAGCTGGACTCATTTTTCCATACTGCAAACAGCTGAAAATCCACTGAATCACAACTGGTGCATAATTCTGCATCTTTGGACCGAGCACGTACCCAGCAAAGGGCAATTTGCAACTCAGAGTCTTATCAAATGACCACTTCAGTAGAGGAAAAGCCTATGGAGCACTAGTTCGTCCTCCTACTTCCCAACCCAGTGAACTGTCAGGTGCAGAGATGAGATGATGCTGCAGCACACATCTTTTGATGTCTCAAAACTGGGGATAATTCAGGAGAAAGGATACAGCATACGGTGCCTGGATGACACCACTTTCAAACAATCCAAGGAGACTTTATCAGAAAAGGAATTAGGAAGCTTTTTTGATCTTGCTATACCATCATCATCTTCATAGGCTGCCTAACTCAGCAGCACTCAGAGGAGTGCTAGGAGCTAAACACAAATTCACACTAGAAATACGTGTCAGTTCCACAGTAGTCAAAGCTATAAATTCAGGATTTGTGATTCAGATCAGGTTCTGCACAACAGTGTTCCTAAATAAAGCATGGAAAAAATCACAACCTTCTGCTGCAGCAAAGGCAGAGCAAGCCTGTGACCTTCCCATGCACCTGGGTGTATTGCAAAGCCTCTGTCTGGGCTTAAAACCTGTGAATCCAGCATGCTTTTCATCACAGTTTCCAAGCCAGCCCCATTGCATCTCCCAGGACATTACTGACACAGCAGCTCCAGGCGATTATGTCAGCCTAATAACACTCTTGGGCAACGACACACCCATGAGCCAGTTGTAAAGGTCTATCAACAATCTATTTCTCAAGACCATCTTGCAATGCAATTACACTGGTTTTGCATCTGGTAGAGCCCTGAGAGTGGTTCTGACATGTTTTTTTAAAACTGGGACACAGTCTTTATAGAGAAATTACAATGAGATCGTCCTCACATTTTGCATTCTGCTTTTCCAATCCTGTGGTTGGGCTGGACCACTAGAGATGCTTGGAGAGAAGCCATGGGGGACTTCTGGCCCCAGTTCCACTCCTGAAAACTTGTTGCTGAACTACTTTCCCAATTTTGCAATTTGAACAACAATAAAAATGAGTCAGTTACTGAACACTTGAGTCCGGTCTGTGCAATGCACCATGTTCTTCTGGCCACGTGCCTCAATGTGTCTCTTCCAGCTTCACCCAAGCCCTGACTTCATCATTCAACCCAACCCCATGTCCACTTACCTATGGCTGTACAGAAATTATGAAAGGGTTTAAGAAAGAGTCATTTCAGCCAAGCATGGGCTGGAGATGTTTCTCAGTGTTCAATCACAAGAGTGCCTGATTTCTGCCTGTTTTCCTTTGGAAGTTCTGCTCCCACAACCAGCTCACCTGAGACACCACGATCTCTGCTAAGCTGCAAGTTAAGCATGGGTAAATCAAACCCAGTCCTTTCAACCTTCTCAAACATCTGATCCCAGAGCTCATCCACCACCATTGGCTGCTGTGTCATCAGCTTGGCCTGGTTAGCCATCAGGCTCCAGAGAAAGGGGTCAATACCACCTGCAAAGGTTACACATGGACTTGTGAGCAGTGCAGTGCTGGGTGGCAAGTGGGTGTGGAAGAGGCTCTGGAAAGCTGAGCACAGCTCATGTTTAATTATAAGCTTCTACTACAAGAGAATCAATTTTCCTGCACTTAAAGAATTAAAAAGAAAATACTTTGAATAATGTCTTTAGAGTCTACAGTAATTAAGCAATCAGGCTTCATAATAAGATGGGCTGTGTTTGACTGCAGAGAACAGTTATGGTGGGAAAAACTCTGGCTGGTAGTAAAGGTCATTTAATACATTTAAAGCAAACTACTTTTAAGTTTGACTGAAGCAGAAGCTCGTCCAGAGAGGGCAGAAAATGCTGAATGAAATAAACTTACTCTGCAGAGGTAGAAGAAAGGCTTTACCTTCTGTAACAATTCTCCAGACAGCAAAGGAGGTGTTTCTGAGTAGGATTTTGGGATCTATGGGCTTGTAATTTTGATTTAAGCGGTCAACAGTTGGGGGAACTGAAATATGAGCAATAGGAAAAGCCAGGGTAAAGATATTGGACACTTGAGGACTCACAGACTCATTGTAGCCCTGGTAGAGAAGAATCAATCTCTGGAAGCCACTCCCCAGCAGAAGAGGGAGGAAGTCGCTGCAGGTTATAATCTATGGGGTGAATCGTTAATTGCTTGGCCACCAGTTTCTTTGGAAGTAAAGTTACTGGTCATGTCTCAAACCCCAGACACTCTCACACTGAACTTCTTTGATGGGGCTTACTTAGGAGATTTTGCCAGCACATAAGCATAGCAGAGAGACTCCCCAAGTCCTGTGTTTCTTTCATCTTATTGGACCTTCACACAATTGCTCTCACAGTCTGGCAAGGATCCTTTCTGATGCTGCCGAGTGACATTTTTGTTTCTTCAGCTCCATGGCCTTGGTTCAAAGCCTCTTCTGCACCTAGCCACTGTACCATGCCACAGGCAGCACAGCTCCAGGCACAGACACAGCAGGCCATTGCCTGGGCTCCTCGCTTCTCCAGCCCATGCACCCTCTAGCAGTGATGAAATTTGCATAAACATGCAGTGATTTGCATGAAAATGCAAAGTGGGCAAAACTGCTTCCAGAACATCAGGAAGCAGCAGGACACTGCTCATGCCTGACCCACACTCCTCCTTGTGCACTGGGATCCTCTGCCCGTTGGTGCCGAGGACTTGGCACCAAAGTGTTCCCAGACATGTTCCTCCCTGCCTCAACATCTTGGCAGGTCAGAGCAAGATGAAAGCCTGCCAAATCCTCCCAAATATTCCATCCTTTCCTATAGGTAGAGGCTGTTCCCATTAGCCAGGTAGAACCACATTTCTTCCTCCTTCCCACCTTACATGCTTCAGATGACAGAGAAAAATTCAACAATGCTGGCACAGGTGGTATCACCACCCACAGGCAGCTGTGTTAGTCCTCCCATAGCAGAGGTTTCCAACCCTGGTCTCGTGTCTCTCTGGGATACTGAGGAGGCTGCACAATATAATTTAAAAAATCAAATTTTTTGTCTGTAGATGCAAATGTCTTAATTGTCTGAAAATTGCAAGAAGATAAAACCATTGATCTAAACGTGATGATGGAGACAATTCTTTTAGAGCAATTGTTTGACTCTCTCCACATAGGCTTACTCAATATGTTTATTCAATAATACTATACTATTTAAATAGACGGTATTAAAAATGTAAACTTTTTATATTTCTTCTTTCTTTTTGTGTGTGTGTGCTTGTTGAACCAGCTCAGAACACAGGTTTCTAATTAGGTGTGACTAAGCCTTTGGAAACCCCATGTCTTCTGCTCTCATAGGAGCTGGCCTTTTCTGTTGGCTGTGAACCTACATCTGGCTTTGAAGCTCCAAACCAGAGGCTGGGTAAAAGACCTTGAGGTGTCCCTTCAAAGCACAGAAATACTTCTGTGACCTTGGGATCTCATCCAGGCTGAAGTCTGTGGTGCAGCACAGTCCCAAGGGGCTCTTGTCACAAAGCAATAAGGACAGAGGAATGCCATGGCTGCCCCATGGGCAGCACATGGGGCTTCTTGAGAGGAGGAGGCTCACAACGCAGAGGAACTGTAATCCAAATCTCCATTACCATTTTTATTCCATACCAAACCCTGCTTAGAAAAACTTTTCCATGGAAGGAGGTGAACGTCACCTTAGGAACTATTCACAGAGAAATGTTTACATGTCTCAATATCTGCATTGTGAAGAAGATGGGTAAGAAACACACAGGAGGAGAAGGAAACCAGGGTCTGGGCCCCGAGCGTTGGAGAGCACCAGTGAAAAGCCAAATTTCTGCTGAGGCAGCAAAAGTCAAGATGCTACCATGGCTGTGCTCAACATCCCAGAGAGACGGGGAAGGTTTTTTTTCAAATAAGGGCTAGGAGCATTAACTTAAGAAGCTAAATACATGTAAGTGTTCTCCAGGTTTCCATATCAGAGAGACAGTCTCACAGCTCAAGAGAAATGAAAATGTGCAGAGGGAATTCAGGATGGCCAAGGAAGCTCTGTAAGTTCCAAGGCATCCTTCGAACCAGCTGAAACTAAAGCCAAAGCAAGGTGACAGTCACAATCAAGCTCTCTCTCGTGAGTAAAAGTAAGGGCAAAATGAGTCACAACTTGAAGGAACAAATTACAAATAGTATCACTATGAAATATTCAATTCTTCTTTAAACATCTAGGGCAGGAAACCCAAGAGCAAGCAGGTGATGATAGTATAAAGAAGCTCTCATAGAAAAGTAAATATGTCGTATTTAGTCCCCTAGTCCCATAGTAAATAGAGGGATTTGCTCTTGCTTTCAGCACAGAGCCCTTTTCATTTACTGTCAAAGGCTGTCTGTAAGAGACTGCGGAAGAAGAAACAAAAGAAGCACTGTGAGGTTTCCTTCAGCAGAATGCATCCACCCAGGGCTTCCAACAGAGCTCCAGCAAGAAATTGCTGAACCCTGTTGGGCAACTGCGCACGCAAAATTTCCCCAGTTCTCAGGGACCGGAAAAGCCACAAATAAGACACTGAATTTTAAAAAGAGCTTCCGAGCCAGCCTGAACTGTTCACTGTAAATTCATAGAATCATAGAATTGTCTAGGTTGGAAGGGACCTTTAAGATCATCTAGAACAACCATCAATCTAACTCTGATTAAATAAAAAAAAACATCCCTAACCATGTCACTAAGCACTATGTCAACCCGTCTTTTGAATCCCTCCAGGGATGGTACCTCAACCACTTCCCTGGGCAGCCCATTCTAAGGCTTAATAACCCTTTCTGTGTAAATATTTTTCCTAATAGCCAACCTGAACCTCCCCTGGTGCAACTTGAGGCCATTTCCTTTTGTCCCATCGCCTGTGACTTGGGAGAAGAGACTGAGCCCCCCCGGCCACACCCTCCTTTCAGGGAGTTGTAGAGAGCGAGAAGGTCTCCCCTCAGCCTCCTTTTCTCCAGGCTGAACACCCCCAGCTCCCTCAGCTGCTCCTCATAAGACTTATTCTCCAGACCCCTCACCAGCTTCGTTGCCCTTCATTGATGGCTGTGTACCCAGCATGGAACAGCAACCGCCCCAACAACCCTCAGTCCTGGGGGCTGGGAGCCCACCTTGGGAAACATCTGATGTGCCTGCCCATTCTCCTCACTGGGCAGTGGCCTTTGGCCATGGGTCCCATGTGGTCCTCACCAAGGAGAGAGCTGGAAGCAGCTGAAGACATGGAACAATGGATGAGACAGATGGACAGATATGAGAGGTCAAAGGAAACATGAAACACCAAGAGATCTTTTAAGGCACTGAAGGATGACACTGAACAGAGCTCTCCCACTGGTCCCACCACCAGGTTCTGGTGGTGTCCAACAACCATGGGGTTGTTATTCAGAGGATTTTGGGCCACATATATGTAGGGGGGCAAGAGAACAGAACTCAGATCCACAGCAGATGAGATCTGTTTTGCCCTCAAGCTTTCTCTGGCAGTGCCATGAGCAGCCCAGTGTGACCAGAGCCAGCACGAGTTAGCCAGGAGTTCCTCCTATCCAAAAAAACAGGGCCAGGGAGTAAGAGACTAATTCATAAAGTGTATAAGAAACACTCCTCTCTGGGCTCCCACAGGCTGGTGGCAGCATCCTGGTCCTCACTGGCAGAGGTCAGGAGAAGGGAGCAATGCTTAGGACTCCAGGTCAGTTATTTTGTGTGCTGGGGACAGAAAAAGACAGCAAATGGCAGCAGGTGGGAAGGTTGTGGTGGCTGTGCAATGTCTTGGCTGGAGGGCCGGCATGGCCTTGGGAGGCTGTGTCCAGGACAAAAGGAGTTATTTTGGGCTGAAGAAGTGGTCAAGAAGATACCAAAAGCGTAACAAGGGATAAATGGAACAGGAGGCTGTCTTGATGGACTGAAGACCTGTGCTGATGTCCTGGCTGGTGTTCTGCCACTGTACCCCCAGCCTTCTCAGTGGTGGGGACACATCTTAAAAGGTCACTTTGACTGTGGCTATTCTCATTCTCAGTCCAGTTGGAATCTAAGCTCCTCTCACAGTGCAGCAGACACACTGATGTGCACAGCACAGGCAAAAGTGTCATGGAGGTGACCCAGCCCAGCACCAACATACCTCTACCCAGCCTGAGAGACAGCCACCAAAAGACACGTATGGGCAAGCCATTGCCTTCAGGCCAGTCTGCTATTGCTGGGTTTGCTTGGCTCCATCATGGCATTGGCTCCCAGTCACCTCCAGCAGCCCTGTGTACTCTCTGGGCTCTACACCAGTGCTGCTGAGTACAGATGGCGTATAGTCACAAAGAAGACTCAGAGATGAAAACCATTCTCCTACTTAGCATAGCCTGTCTCAGTCTTTCGTGATGTTTTGCTATGCTCTTTTTTCTACTTAAATAAGAAAATCAAACAAATGAATGAACTAGCTGGTGAAAGTGTTCACTCTGTATTTCAGGTTTAGGGCTCCCAGCACCCAACCTACCTGCAAGAAAACAAGGGAAGTAAGAAAGTAAGTCCTGCTGGTACAAGCAGGAGCTGAGTGGGAGAAAAGAAGGCAATCTCTTGGGTTTTTAATTTGTGGGTTACCAGGGTGGGACCTGCAGAAAGATAAAAGAATAATTCATCACCAGTTCAGGGGTGGAGAAACTGCACTGTGATACTATAGCCGTAAGAAAAGCCAGACAGGAGCCATTTCAAAGGCAGTCCCCATGCTAGATGGTGTGGAGATCAGTCATAAATCCCAGATACAAAGGGTCAGATTGACAACAGAGATGCTATTTTAGGAGTCCAAGTCCTAAAATATGCATGAAAGCCTGGAGATGCCTAAATTTCCATAAAGTCCTATGCATACCTAAATGTTTTCTCCTGATTATATACATGTTAGAATTAATCTTTAAGGTTCAGGTGTTTCTGTCTCATGTTGGACTTTAGTGACCATATCTACGTTGGGGACAGTCATCATGTGGAACTTGTGACCCTGCCTGCATTCTCAAGTGCACGCTGGGCAAACAGTCGGTGATGCTCCATCGCCTCACAGTTTTCCTTGAAAGGAAATATGGGTACATGGGCGAGCCAGAGCTGCAGTACATCTTCAAAGGCAGGAGAGCAGGGCTGCAGGGTGGACGTGCACATCATTAAGCATTTATTGGAGCAGACACTGCAATGTGACTATCGTGCTAATATCTCAGCCACTATTGAGAGACGCTCATCCCTTCCTTGCACCATGCACTACTGAGCATTTAACCATTCAATGGGCATGGATTTGCTGGGGTCTTGACACCCATCAGCTCCTGCCTCTGCCATGTTTACTATAATCTAGACATCACCTGTGTTGCCTTTGCACCATACCTCCAAAGCAAAGCCATATCATCAAGGGACATGGGTAAATGGTTGGAAACAGGGGAAAGACAGGCTGTGACTGTGCCTGACATTTGGGGACAGCTGCTGAGACACAGCATCACCACCACCTTACAGAGAGTGGTCTGACTCCCTTGGCCTGCTCTGGGAGGATGTCCCTCCGTGGCCAAGAACCAGAAGAGCCACCAGCATCTCCTGGTTGGAGTGTAGATACCCTCTCCCCCTCTTCCCTGCAAGAAGGCGGCTAGCTGTACTTCAATGGGAAAGCAAGGGGGCTGCTTGACACAACTGGTGTCACAGTGCACCTTGCCACTGAAGGTGACTCTAGCTGGGGTGTCCAAATTGAAATCCAGGTCATGGTCAATAAACTGGCCCCACTGCATGAACATGAGTGATCTCTGCTGGTCCATCCTGAGCTGCTCAAGGGAAAGCAGATTGTCTCATTGAACACTTTTCGAACCTATGGGGGATGAAGGCAGAAAATACTGTGTTAGGAAATGACTTGTATGAGTGGGTGCATCAGTTTGTAGGGTCACCAGCAGAAATTCATGAGGCATTCGTTACACTTCACAGAAAACCACCCAAATCTCTGTGTCTGAGTTGGAAGGCATTACTGAGTGCCCCTTTGCTGAGCATCGCATTCTTCTGGCTCTAGGCAGGTTTCTGAGCTTCTAGGCCAAGAGTAACCTTTGATGGCCATATGAAAGCAGCAAAGCAAGAGCCGTACTGAATAGACTGGGAAAGGGAGACATGAGATTTTTAAAGACTGGTTGAAATAGAAGTGAGGAAAAAAAATAGTGTTTGGGAACTTCTGAGTTATACCAGTAAACTCCTTCTAGCAGGACACTCTCCCAAAGCCTTCTTGCCATCTCATCCCTTCCAATCCCCCTACTAGTTCTTCCTTCATATCTTACTACAGAAAAAGTGGTGAAAACTCTGCTCAAGCCCTGACACTGTGCGGTAGAGCAGAATTAGGAAGTACCATGCAAGCACAACCACAAGGCACACAGAAAATTGCAGAGCTCCTCATTAGTGCTGCTGTTGTACCAAACCCAAGAGACTAGAAATCCCATCACAGTGCCCCTGCTCCTGTCCAGGTGCTGTAAGAGCCAGAAGCGCCTCTTCAGGTCATCCCACCCATGGATCCCCACACAGAACTTCTAGCTGGATTTTTTTCAGGGGATTCACTTATTCATTTTATCCTCTGTCATATTGCTTTTCGGGAGACAGCCAGCTTCTGCAAACCAAACCAAAAAAGGTGAGTAAATTAGTTTGGCTTAAATGCACTTAATTTTAAAGAACACATAGTGTAATTCTTTCTCTATCCCGCACTTCTGCAGTAATCAGGTCCTTTTCCTGAAAGCATGGGTGTTAGAAAACATTTCTGTTACCTCACCCTGAAGATTTTCACACGATCAACCTGAATCAACCTGGTGAATTTATCTTCCTCCTCCTGATCTCCAGCCACACCAGCTGGTGGACCTGCACTTTGGTGCCTGTAATTTCTCCAAGGACTGGCAATTTCTAAGCCCTGATACTGCATTTTCAGATGACTGGTACAAAGATTACCAGTGGAAAGAGGAATCCAGAAACACTTTCCTTCTGTCCACCCACAGGGGAGTGACACACCATCCTCATATTCTGCTGGTAGAGCTCTGTTTGAAGCTCCTAGCGATGGTTTTCTCCTGACAGAGTGAACGCAAGAACAGCAAACTATTAGTGGCACCAAGACTACAGCAGGGCCAAGAGCTCATGGATGTGGAGAGAGACAGGAACCTTGGAATGGGACCACACAGTGATGCACAACGGCCGGGGAGCTGCTGTGGGTTTGGTGCTATTAATATGCCTCAGGTTTAACAATAACAACAATAATTATAATAAACACCAACCTGCAGCTTCTTCCAGGCAAGAACTCAAGTTGCTAGTGACTCCTAGTGTCATCCAGCCTGAAGAAAGTCCCTCAGCCTCAGACCGTGGGTAGAAAACAAAGGTGAAAGCTTAACATCAGAGAAAAGGGGCAGAGACATAAGCCTGTTCATTGAATGGTATTACCAGTAATCTTTAATACAAATGGGGTGATTTGGATTGTGTTACTATGCTGCAATTGGATTAAGTGATTATTATAGTTTGATTAGACCATTAAAGCCTTAATTAGACTAATAATATATTTAATTTTGGAGTGCATGTATAACGTGTGTTTTCTGGTTGCCTGTCATACTCCATGGGTGTAACGCTGGCTAGAGACAAGCAATGGCGGGACACAGAGCACAGGGCACAGTTGAACCCACCTTCTCCAGGGCTTCAGGGTCTGGTTCAGGTGTGATGGACCTGTCCTTATGCCAGAACCAGAGCCTTCTCCTGAATGCAGAAACTGCTGTCTGAAAATGGAAGGAGACAGGTAGCTCTCTCCCTATTTCTTGTAGAGATACCTGAAGGCTAAAGCATCCCCTGGTCAGGTAGACCTGTCTGAGCTCCTTCCCGTCGGAGGTACTCCCAGGAGATGCTCCGGGTTCTTGGAAATAGGGGAGGGATGGGGACTGTTTCTATACTGTCCCTTCTGAAACACTCTACTCTTTAGCACAGCTTACCTTTCATTGCACCAGGAAATCTCTGGATACACTGAGAAACAGTTCTTACATCCCACATTACAGTCATGCCCCTCCATTTGTCCAACCACAGACATGCAGAGGGTGCTCTCTCCCACCCCGTGTGCCCAGATTTCTCCCAAGGCACAATGTGGGCCATGGAAACAGTGAGATCATGCCGCAGTATGGGTTTGGGTCAGGAAGCAGTTTGAGACCATGCAAAGGGGCAGAGCCAGGGAAAGCCTAGGAGGAAGCAGAAAGATGACAGAGACCCTGGGTTGGGGGGTCAGTCCCCAACGCAGAGATATTTGCATTTTGGCCAAAGTGCTGGTTCAGGTACAAGACCAAGAACCCTCAAAGCAAGACTGTAATTAAAATCCCCACACGTCAAGGAAATAACACTGTGTGGAGCAAAACCCTGAAAAAAGCATCCTACGTGGCTGATCCCTGGGGACATGGGCTATTGATGGAGGATCCTCCTGTTGACACAGCCCCCTCACCTGCTGTTGCACTCACCAGTGATCCTTTGGTAGAAGCGAGAAACGTCACACTCTATTTTCTTATCCTGCTGGTCACATCCAGTTGCCTTGAAAATCATCCCCAGCTGAGGCGGTGTCAGCAGGTCTGCCAGGTAACAACAGAGAACAAGCCTCTGGGTTTGTGGTGCCTCCCAGGCTGGGGGAAAAGTTTTCCTTCTCGTACCCTTGGAATGTATGATGTAGGAGAGCACAAGGGGCTGCCATTTAAGGTTTTCCTGCTCAAAGCTGTGCTGAGGATGCTCTCTACAGCAGCAGATTGCTTTTTCTGGTTTGGAAAGCATTAAACCAAACAAAGTTGTGGTCAGATCTTATTTATAATCACATTAGGTCTGTGCAGCAGCAGAATGATTTTCTAGCATTAGCAATCCTTTTTCCTTCCTCACTCCTCCCTTTTTATCTCCACCATAAATTTCTAACAGCTACAGTTATCCTAGTGGTGTGTTACCAGTCTTTTTACCCCTGTGAAGCAGCCAGCAGCAGGTGCCACCAACTGTTTGGAGCTGCCTGGAGAGAAACCACCAGGTGTCTGGGCTGCACAAGGGGACACTGGTTTTGCATTTCCACAAAGCACATTTCCCTGTGCATGGGCGATAACTGGCCAAGTTCAACCAGTAAAACTTTCCTGGCTATTGCTGCTAGCACAGCACGTCCTGAGACCCTTGGAGGTTTCCTAGTCACTGCTGCCACCCACAGCCTGGGTCACAGCATGGTTCCAGAAGCCACTGGACTCCTGGGCAAACAGATGGGAGGTGGCAGCCGGCTGATCTGGCAAGTCCCTGAGAGGGTGCCAGAGAATAGGTGCCGGAGCATTGCTCCTGGATGGAGAGGCTGAAGCCAAGCTGTCAGCCTTGTCTCCTTCTTCCCACTCACCCCACGCTGGAGCGATGCTCAAGCACCCCAAGACATGTGTCCTGGCCTGCCAGTGCTTTCCTGTAATAATGGGGATCCCCATGAGTCCATTTTATGTGGCAGGAGCACTGCCTCTGCCTCCCTGACCTGTTTCTCTTACTGCCCCTAATGTTCCTTCTGCTCTCATCAAACTGCACTTGCCAGGAGGCCAGGACTGCCACCTCATGGAGGACACCGCTCCTTCAAGACACACACTGAAATGTCTTTTCACATTGCTCTGTTCTCATTCTCTATTTGTGCCTGTCTCACAGCATCCTGTCCCCAGTGCAGAACCATCTGGCAGTGACTGACTATTGTTAGCTGAAGTCTGGCAGAAAAACTGGTTACCTTGGGGTTCACCTATTGTGAGTCACATCCTCTGCGTTTTCTCATTCCCTACTCAAGCAAAAGACTATTTTCTACTGAAATTTTACAAGCTTTGACCCATTGGTACGTTAACCTCTATATTGCAGAAAGAAACAGGGGAGTGCACAAATCACTTTCATCAACTGATCACCCCCCAAATATTTTTTTAAGACGGAAACAGAGCACAGAAAAATAGCTCAGCTTTGCCTCACTGAAGGCACGATTTGAATTGTGGCCCATCATAACCCCCTTTCATTCCCTCTTCCTAAGACCCAGTGACCAAACCCCGTATCTTCCTCCTCTGTCTTCCTTCCAACAAGAGAGATCCCTGCCTGTGACATGGAAGTCCCCCCCCTCATAGCCCATTGCAGCTTCTCCATGAGGAAGGTCAGGGTGCTTTCCAAGTAATCTGCAGCCCGGATGGCAGCCCGAACCCCAGCCGCCAGCTGTTTCAAATATCCCAGAAGCTCTCCTGGGGTCAAGGCATCATTCTGCAGGTGCTCCTTTATGCTGCAAGGGAGAACAAAACAACATTTGCAGGACTGAAATGGACCAAAGCCAAGAGTCCCGCAGGTTACACACCTGAGTGTCAGGCACCCCAGCTCTCCTGGTGTGTTATGAGTCTGAACTGCAAACAAAGACAGAGCAATCCAGTTCCCTGCACGGCAGCTGGAAGAGACCAGGGCTGTTCCGGCCACCCTCGGCAGAGGAGCAGAGTGAGCTGCAGGAAGGGAATCTCTCAAATTGCCCAGCTCCACCTGCCAGCAGACAAACCTTTGGTCTTTACATCCTTATCATCCTTATATTACGTCTGCTACCCATAGACATTCAGGATGTTTTTGCCCAAAGCTGACCCACTCCCCCAAGGCAGCTCCAAAGCAATCAGCTCTATTGGAATGAGCCTGGAGCTGTGGGCTGGGCCTACTGCACGTGGCTTAGCACCCACCATGGACCTGCCAGCAAAGGTAGCCCAGAATACACCCTAAAATCCTGAGCAAAACCCACTCCCTGTGGAGGAACCCCCAGCGACAGCACCAATGTGGTCCAGCCACGTCCTCACCATGCTCCAGCTGTGCTTGGTGCCCTTGGCAGTGGCTCTGCCAGCCCTGGAGCTGGGGAAGTCGTCACACGAGCAGTGGGAAGCTCAGACCTCAGCTGGATGCTTCAAACACAGTCCCTCACTCCCAGCACAGAAACAAGTGCTCCACCAAAGCAAAAGCAGGCATGCGATGGGCTGCAGTCTCACCTGAGGTCCTCTGCTGTCCTCACCATCGTCTTCTCCACCCCTGTGCTTTTATCTGCAGTGGGGTGTTATCTGCAGCATGGGCTGACCCACGGGGCTTGGAAACTCCCCCATGGGCGCCAGGGCAGTGCAGCACCCACCTCCCACCCCAGCTCTTGTGCACCCATCTGGACACACAGCCTGATGCTCAAGCAGAGCTTCCCCAGGTGTGTTTTAGCCACTGCGACTTAGAGCTGCTGCAGCTTTTTTACTTCCAGCCTTTCAGTCCATCCTTGCCCTGACTCCTGCTTGCCACAGGAGACAGGGGTTCACTGCAATATCCTCCTGGAACATCTGCCTCCAAGGTGCAGCAGCTCCCCAAACAAGTCCCTCCTGCCAGGGCAATCCTGCAAAATCCCCAGAAAAGCCCACAGGGACTTTTGCCACCTTGGCTGCATTCCCGGAGGACTGAGGGGTAGAACTGCCCCTCCACACGCCTGACCCCGTGTTTGGGGGGGCCTTCGCAGAGCCCACATTTCTGCTGGTGGGACTAGAGGCATCAGCTACTCAATGAGTCTCAGAGCCAGGTACGGAGCCGAGACCTGCGGTCTGACTTCAGGGCTTCTGGGGATTCCTTATTTTTTCCCTTCTTTTAGCCAACGTATATTGCAGCATGTAAAGACTATCACCCGACTGAACTGTTCCAGCTGGGTAAGAGGGGAAAAACACATTTTATCTTCTCCTTTCTTGGGGTCAGATGCCACAGACAGCAGCTTTGCTCAGCTCCACATGTCTTCTAGGTAAACAGGCTGAAAAATTGCAACTCCCAGCAAGACTTGAGGAAAGCTCCATCTGTCCCCAGCATCTCCACCCTTCTCCTGCCAGATCAGAGAGACCACACAGGGTTGAGGCACTGCAGAACAGAGCAGCTGGAGCAGGTCCTCACTGGACTTCAAGTAGCCCAAGGCTCATGAGTCTGCCATGGTGGCATTACAACAATTGACACCAATAATAATTGCATTGTTGATAATACATATTTAAGACTCTTGCACAGGGCAGCAGTCCCCAGAACAACCCCAAACTGGGAGGCACAGAGGCAGCAAAGCCTCTTCTCCAGGCACAGCACTGACACATGGCTCCTGGCAGGAGGCTGTCATTCCCTTGGATAAGAGACATGGAAGAAGACCTTCGCAACAACCTCTGAGCAGCTGCTGGTAGTGCTTGGACAGGTCTGTTCACTGGACAGGACCAGTCACTGCTGGCACAAAATGTGCCTGGACTCTGGAAGTTGCATCAGATGTTCAGGAAGCCTGTAACCAGAGTTACAGATTCCACCTACAAGTGTGGAATTCCACCTACAAGATCGTCATGGTGGGGCTGGTCTCAGTCTGTCACCCGAGCACTGCAGCACTGCTGCGTCAGAAGACACAGTAACTGCAGAGGGTTGGTCCATGCCAGCCAACCTGTCCTGTTGGCACAGCATGAAAAGAAGCCAATGTCTGCAAGGGATACACAGATCTTCTCCACAGGTATGTGCTCCCAGCCTGGCTTGAAGGTGGCTCACTGTGAAGGAGCAAAAAAGTGGAAAACACCAAAGCATCTGAAACTTAAAAAGTGAAAGCTGTACTTCTAGCAGAACTCATCATTGACCTCTTGATTTTTGTTCTTTTCTAAAAATGAAATCATCAAGGAATGAAGCACCCAGGTCTGGATGCAGCCAGCACACCTGATGCTGCTTTCATCAGCATCAGGACACGACAGGGCAGTGTTGGTGCAGCTAAACGGCCTGGCTGCTCCCTGCAGCCCCTTTGCAGAGGGTGTTTACTCAGCCCCCTGCCCTTAGAATCATCGAATTGTCTAGGTTGGAAGGGACCTTAAAGATCATCTAGTCCAACCATCAACCTAACTCTGACAAAAAAAAGAAAAAGATATAAGAAATAAAAATCACTACACCATATTCCTGAGGACCATGTCAACCCGTCTTTTGAAGACCTCCAGGGATGGTGCCTCAACCACTTCCCTGGGCAGCCTATTCCAATGCTGGATAACCCTTTTGGTGAAGAAATGTTTCCTAATATCCAATCTAAACCTCCCCTGGCGCAACTTCAGGCCATTTCCCCTTGTCCTGTCTCCTGTGACCTGGGAGACGAGACCAACCCCTGCTTCTCTACATCCCCCCTTCAGGTAGTTATAGAGCATGATAAGGTCTCCCCTCAGCCTCCTCTTCTCCAGACACCCCCAGCTCCCTCAGCTGCTTCTCATAAGACTTACTCTCCAGACCTCTCACCAGCTCCATTGCCCTTCTCTGGACCCGCTCCAGCCCCTCAATGTCTTTTTTGTGGGAAGGGGCCCAAAACTGGACACAGTACTCAAGGTGAGGCCTCACCAGTGCCCAATACAGGGGGACGATCACCTCTTGGGTCCTACTCACCACGCTGTTCCTGATACAGGCCAGGATGCTGTTGGCCTTCCTGGCCACCTGGGCACACTGCTGGCTCATGTTCAGCCCACAGGCGACCAACACCCCCAGCTGCCCGGCAGCTCCAGCCACTCTGCCCCCAGCCTGTAGCGCTACAGGGGGTTGGTGTGACCCAAGGGCAGGACCCGGCACTTGACCTTATTGAACCTCATCCTGTTGGTCTCAGCCCATCGAACCAGCCTGTCCAGATCCCTCTGCAGAGCCTCTCTACCCTCCAGCAGGTCGACACTGCCACCCAGCTTGGTGTTGTCTGTGAACTTACTGAGGGTGCACTCAGTACTGAGGATCCCCTCATCCAGATCATTGATAAAGATGTTAAAGAAAATGGGTCCCAGTACCAAGCCCTGTGGGACACCACTCGTGACTGGCTGCCAACTGGATTTGACTCCATTCCCCACCACTCTCTGGGCCCAGCCTCCAGCCAGTTTTTAACCCAGTGGAGAGTATTCCCATCTAAGCCATGAGCAGCTGGTTTCTCCAGAAGGATACTGTGGGAGACTGTATCAAAGGCCTTACTAAAATCCAGGTAAGCAACATCCACAGCCTTTCCTTCATCCAGCAAGTGGGTCACTTTGTCATAGAAGGAAATCAGGTTTGTCAAGCAGGACCTGCCCCTCCTGAACCCGTGCTGGCTGGGCCTGATCACCTGGGTGTCCTTCATGCTCTGCATAATGGCACTCAGGATGGTCTGTTCCATGGCCTTCCCAGGCACCGAGGTCAGACCGACAGACCTGTAGTTCCCTGGATAATCCTTCCGACCCTTCTTGTGGATGGGCATCACATTTGCCAGACACCAGTCAGCTGGGACTTCCCCAGTTTGCCAAGTAAACTGGTAAATGATGGAGAGTGGCTCCGCAAGCACTTCCACCAGCTCCCTCAATGCCCTCGGGTGGATCCCATCTGGGCCCATAGACTTGTGTGTGTCTAGGTGCTGGAGCAGGTCCCTCACCGCTTCCCTTTGGATTACAGGGGCTTCATTCTGCTCCCTGCCCTTATCTGCCAGCTCAGGGGTCTGGGTACTCAGGGGACACCCTACTCCATTACTGAAGACTGAGGCAAAAAAGGCATTCAGTACCTCAGCCTTCTCCTCACCTTTTGTCACTAAGACACCTCCCATATCCAGTAGTGGATGGAGGCTGTCCCGAGTCCTCCTCTTGCTACTAATGTATTTATAGAAATTCTTTATGTTATTTTTAACATCCAAGGCCAGTTCAAGTTCAAGCTGGACTTTGGCCTTTCTAATCTTTTCCCTACATAACTTTGCTACACCTTTATAATCTTCCTGAGTGGCCTGCCCCTTCTTCCAAAGGCCATAAACTCTCCTTTTTTCCCTGAGCTGTGACCCTATCTCTTTGTTCAGCCAGGCTGGTCTTTTCCCTCAACGGCTCACTTTACTGCACAGAGGGACGGCCTGTGCCTGCGCTTTTAAGACTTCCTCCTTGAAAAACATCCAGCCTTCCTGGACTCCTTTTCCCTTCAGGGCTGCCTCCCAAGGGTCTCTGTCAAGCAGACTCTTGAAAAGGCCAAAGTCTGCCCTCCGGAAGTCCATGATGGCAGTCCTGCTGGTTCCTCTTCTCGCCTCCCTGAGAATCGAAAACTTTATCATTTCACGGTCACTTTGCCCCAGACGGCCTCCAACCGTCACATCCCCCTCAAGTCCTTCTCTATTTAAAAACACCAGATCCAGCGATGCTCCTTCCCTAGTCGGCTCCCTCACCAGCTGTGTCAGGAAGTTATCCCCGACACACTCCAGGAACCTTCTAGACTGTTCCCTCTCAGCTGTATTGTGTTCCCAGCTGATATCTGGTAGGTTTAATTCTTCCACTAGGACAAGAGCAAGCGATCTTGAGACTTCTGCCAGCTGCTTATAGAACATTTCATCTACCTCTACATCCTGGGTGGTCTGTAGCAGACTCCCACCACAACATCGGCCTTACTGGCCCTCCCCCTGATTCTTACCCATGGGCACTCAACTCTATCATTACCCTCAATTAGTTCTAGACATTCATATCTGTAGCAGACTCCCACCACAACATCGGCCTTACTGGCCCTCCCCCTGATTCTTACCCATGGGCACTCAACTCTATCATTACCCTCAATTAGTTCTAGACATTCATAATCCTCCCTAACATACAGGGCCACCCCTCCTCCTCTTCTTCCTTGCCTGTCCCTTCTGAAGAGCTTGTATCCATCCATTGCAGCACTCCAGTCATGCGATTCATCCCACCACATTTCCATGACGGCAACTACATCGTAGCTTTCCTGCCACGCAATGGCCTCCAGCTCCTCTTGTTTGTTGCCCATGCTGTGTGCATTTGTGTAGATGCACTCCATCTGGGCTAGTTGTCCTACCACTTTTTGGGGGGGATGAGCCTTATTTCCCACCCGACCGTGCTCAGTCCCTTCTGTAGTTGCCACCCTATTACTACTTCTTATGTCTTCGCTACCATATGTATCACCATCCCCCACTGCCACTGAGAGAAAGGACTGCAAGGCTTTGCTAGCAGTAGTAGTAGGCTTTCCCCCCTCGTCACAAGCAGGCCTGGTTCCTGTAAATCAACCCAAATGAAAGAGCAAGAGTCATCACTACTCTCCCGTCCCTCAAGCCCTGGCATGCTTCCCTCAGGTTTAATCCTCTCAGTCCCAGTTATCTCTCCCTCCCCCTTCATATCTAGTTTAAAGCCATATCGATGAGCCCTGCTAACTCCTGCCCCAAAATTATTTTCCCCCTGTGGGACAGGTGCCTCCCTCCTGCCAGGTAGGCCAGGTGTCTCATACAGCAGCCTATGATTGAAAAACCGAAAGCCCTGCCAATAGCACCAGTCCTGGAGCCACAAATTGACCTGGTGCCTCTCCCTGTCTGTTTCCTCATTCATCATTGCTAGTGAAGGGATAGAGGAGAACACAGCTTGTGTTCCTGATCCCTTAAGTAGCCGTCCCAAGGCTCTAAAACCTCTTTTAATTGATTTCAAGCTCCTCCCCACTTCTTCGCTACCCACCTGAAATACTAAAAGGGGGTAGTAATCAGAGGGTTTTACTAGGGCAGGAAGTTTGCCCAGCACATCCCTATCTCTTGCTCCAGGGAGGCAGCAGACTTCCCTGTGAAGCGGGTCAGGGCGGCATATTGGCCCCTCCACCCCCCTCAGTCACCAACAACGACCCATCTGCTTTTCCTTTTAGAGCTAGTTTTGATGCAGGGTCTATGGCAACTCGGTCTTTCTGGCATTTCTGCCCTGGTTTCATCATCCTCCCTTTCGGCAGCCAGTTACTCCTGCAGGACCCCATACCTGTTCTGTAAGGGTAACTGGGGGGCTGGGAGGGGTCGGGAGGGCATTCGCCTGCTTCGCCGAGCAGGGACCTGTTTCCATTCCCCTTCTTCTCCCAGATCACCTCTTGCTGCCTGGTGAGAAGAGAGGAGAGGGTCCCCTGATTTACGTGAGCTCTCATCCTGTTCCCTTACCCTCAGGGAGTGCACCCACCAGTCACTCTCTCTCTCACACTCCCTGATGCTCCTCAGCCTCTCCACTTCATCCTTCAGCTCAGCCAGCGCCAGGCTCCGGCACTCTCTGCAGCCAGAGGCCTGGACGCCCACACGTTTGTGTGGGGCCCCCGTTTGGGTGCCCACAGCTTTTCCTTTTCTAACAACAGCCTTTGACCGGGTAGTAACCATGGCTGGAAGCAGGCAAGCAAGGATACTTGAGGGTCAGTTGGGATGAGCACCCCAGCTACCTGAAAGTTTGGAGGGGGTTAAGCTTACCTTGTACACTGGCAGAGGCTCAGCGCCCAGCTGTATGTGCTGCAGCTGGTTGAGGCACCCACTGAGGCACACAAGCAAGCACTAGATATCCCCCTGAGCTCAGTGGGCAGAGGCTAGGCTCCTGGAGGCTTCTTATAACCTGGTGGTCTGAAGAACTGTGGGAGGAGCTGGCTCAGCCCAGGCTTACTCAGCAGCCCACCCACCTGCTGTCAGCCCCCAGCACGAGTAGGGGGCTTTGCCCAAAGCCGGGCACTTACCCTTCACATCCAGGAGCACCCTCACACGGGTCCCACCAAAGAACAGAGAACAGGACTGCGGGAGGACAACCGGCTGCGCAGGTTCCCCGACCTCTGGCCAGTGCCACAGGTCCAGTGCCCAGACCCAGGGACTGGGGCTGCACGGAGCCACCCGGGCAGGGCAGGAGGGCTATCAGCACGTCCAGCTCAGGTCTGGACGGGGTGTAAACTGCGCTCAGGCACAGTATAACCCCGTGTAACCACACCCCAGCGCTGCTTCCTCCGGGATTAGGTCTCTGAAACAGGAGAGGCAAAGATTTTTCACTCCCAGAGCAGGCAGCTCACACCGCGACGACAGGGAAGGCGGGCTCCTATATGAAGTGCTGCGCGGCACCCTCAAGGTGCAAGTGATTGGCATAATTTTTCCCTTTGTCCCCCCATCCCCAGAAGAAGCATCACTGAATCTTTTGCTTTTTTAAGGAAAATGTATTTTTGTGAAAATAGACTTTATTATAATAAAATTTGATATTAAATAAAAACATACCGTATCACCAACACTCGCGGACACTGTGCTGGCATCATTCACGTACCTCACATAACTGTCCTTCTCAAAACAAGTACCCACTGAAACATGCAAAGAAAGAAACACTGAAAAGGATAGAAACCATGTAGTACAAAACTCTCCGTGGCTTAGAAAGGGATGTGTCTTAACTCAAGGAACACATCATCTCGTATGAAAATAGCTGCAATCTCTCCATCCCCAGCTCTGCTCTCCAAATGCTCCAGCTCAGGAGCAGCCCACTGAAACAGCCAAAGGAAACTGCGAAAGAGGCAGACGAAAAATAAATACATAAATAAATAGATAGATAGATAAATAAATAAATAAATAAGGCGGAGTCCCCAGCCAGTGTGTGGTCAAGGTGAACCAGCCAAGAGCAGCTCACCCTACGGCAGAAGCATCGACCCCTGTCACAGGGTACCGCTCCTTCCTCCCTGGGAACCCTCGTGCCGAAACGTGACTGAGGCAGCGTGGGATGCTCCTAGGCACAGCTGCATATTTACAGGTTTACAGTACAAATAACTCACTCGTCAGCCCAGAGACAGCAAAGGGGGTTCACGGGAACAGAAAAGTACAAATTTTCTTTGCAGGACATGAAGGAGTTGACACAACCTCCTTTGGACCAGAGAAATACCAGGGTGTGTAGTACAAGGGATATCTTCCTAAGGGGCCGGAGCTTTGCTGGGAAAAGCCATTTAGCTAACTTACAGCCAGAATATACTTTTTAAATTAAAATATTTACAGGAAACTGGTGCATTGAGGGCTGCATGGAGCAGGACACACTACTGTGGAGGTAGCTGTATCCTGGAGCTGAGGCCTCATACACCCCAGTGCCATGACACTGTGTTCACAGCCACTGCCCACGCTGTGCGGGCACCCATGGCGGGGCTCTCAGCAGAGACCACAGTGCACAGACCCACTGAAGAGTCTTCTCTATTCAACATACACTTTTTCCCCTATGAAAATACTCTAATCAGCTTATTGCAGAAGGCTTCTCCTGAATTTTCAGTCCCTGTGTGTATGGACTGCACAGGCAGTCTTTACAGAACAATAAATCCCTTGTTAATTTTTCTTACTGGACCCAAGTTTTTTGAAAAGCTTTTTTCCTTTGAAGAAGAAGCCTTTCTTCTTTTTACTCTGACCAGGTACATCACTGCATTTGAGAACGGCCAGCGATGCCTGCTCTGGACACTGCTCGCCCATGACAAGGCAGGAAGGTGGTAGAGTAGGAGTGGGTGAGGAGTCGCTCTGATCAGCAGACCCATCTGGACTTAACTAAGGGAGAAAAAGAGAAAACAAAAGAAAAAAGGAGAAGTTAGAGCTGACAAAGGACATCACACCAACAAAAACCTCAGCCAGAGAACCCTGCCTTCTCCCGCCAGTCTGTCCCTCACCCTGCAAGGCTCAGCTCCTCCATGCAGTTGCAGATCCAGTCAGGAAGTTTCCAGTGGATTTAAACTTTTCTGTACCCACTACCCAGACCCCACTTGATCTCAGAGAGTCTGAAATTCCTCAACTTTGGGCTAACTTGGGACAGCAGCGAAGTCCCACTGAGGACTTAGTGAAAGACACTGCTTCCCAGCTGAAGATGCTGTAAGTGAAGCGCCTCCATGAGAGCAGGGACGGACAGATACTGACACATCCCTGTGTGCCTGGTGGGCTCCCAGCACACGCTGGGACGGAAGGCAGGACGTTAAGAAAAACCTGACGTAATAAGAACAAGGGCTGTGCAAGATCTTCAGAAGCTCAAGGAGGCTGGCTAAGCTAGGAGGCTTCTGCAACAGTAGCCATCGTCTGCCACGGTAAGAAGAGAAATTCGGGGTCTTGCAAGGCTGCTCAGCATCCATCAGATCTAGTCACAGGAGGGGCAGAAAGCAAAGCCTGATGCTCTGTAGTGGCACCAATAATGGAGAAAAAGTTCACGATGGAGCAGGACATGGAGAAGTCTCAGACCAAGCAGCACACAGCAACTGATGTGTTCCTAAGTCACCTGAGAGCGTTAACTGGGATCCACAGTCCCAAATGACACACTTTATGCTGCTCTTTCTGGAAAGGGCTATTGGAAATCAGAAAGAGCCCAGGAACTGAGTCCTGGGCTCAGTTCCTCTTCACAAAATACTAATGGCAGGTCAGTTCCCAGCAGCAGCCGTTTTTCCACGATCTCCTCTTGCTGGGTTTAGGCGTCTGGACAGTGACCATTTCTGATGTGGCAGGCCATTTTTCCCAAGAAGCTGCGAACTTCAGCAGGGAAGAGGCTCTGGGTTTCTGAAGCGTTGGAGAGCACTTGTCCCACTGCCTTCTCTTCCACACGGCTTTCACAAACCAACATCTCCCAAGCTCCCAGCTGTACCCTCCGTCTTGGAATTCCCCAAAACACAACATGACAGAGGCTGGAGCTGAAACATCATGTCATCATCTCTCTGCTTGGGTCCCACCAAGTCAGGGTGAGTCAAGTGCGTATCCCTTCAGGGTCTGCAGGCAGCCACAGCTCCAAGAGAGAAGATGAGTTAATGACGGCGGCAGCACTGGGGAGGAAGCTCTACTGAAGAGCACAGACATTAGCCCCACACAGCAGATGTGGAGAACTGCAGCAGCTGGAGTTCACTGGTGGGGGTGGACGTGCTCTGGTCAGGTCCCACGCTCTGCCTGAGGAGAGCTGCTGAGTCCAGCAGATGCACAGACATAATGTTACTGCCACAGCAAGAGCACAGTCATACTTTGTGTGCTGTGGGTTACTTTATTTAAAGTTTCCTAGGGTCAAAAGCAAAAGCAGCACCGCTCCTTTGCCCTGCTGCTGTTTCAGGGGTGAAACACTTACTGTGCAACCAAGAGCATAAAAAGTGGCTCCTCCTCTCACAGGTTGAAGTTCTGCTGCTGTATTCCAGCCGCTTCTCTCTGCTGCAGGAAGAAAGCACTTCTGGTACAAGACGAGCAGAAACCTCTTCTCCAGTGACACTCAGTACATGCAATGCCTATAAGGTCAGCTCTGAACAGACAGGAGCACAGCACACTTAGGGAGCTCTGTCTTGGTGAGAATATACGATCTCTTCCAACTACAGAAAGTTGAGAGTCAACTACTGTCTTGCAGCAATGATTTTAAACCGTCTCAAGTGACAGTGCCATCAGACTCCCTCTTACTCAGGGTCTGTGGATACAGGGACGGAGATGTAATTCCTCTCCACCCCTCGTCCTTACAGTAAACAGTACAGTGGCTGATTTTTCCTGAACTCACATTCTGTTTTCACTTGGAAATCTTGTTCCAACCACTTTCAGAAGCACCTCTACAACTCTCCAGATACGCAGCGCTGTGTGGAAAAGCCAACTACTGCCAAGACCATACTGCAGAGGGCTCGATGGCACAGCCTGGACGGTGTGAAAGCTGCGCTCTGCCAGCAAGATCCTCTCCTCCAACTAATGCTGCAGCATCAACTGCCATCTCCGTATCTCCTGGCAGCAGGCACATGTGAGCTGCGCACTTGGTGTTGATGGCCCAAGCACCAGTCAGGTCTGAGAAGTCTGGAAATAGATCTGAATTAATCTAGATGAACCATTTCCAGCCCCTAATGCAAGATTTACAGAGGCAAAGAGAAAAAATAAGCCAGATGAGGGTTAACTTGGTAGCCTACTGTGTTAGCTGTGTGCAAAAGCAGGAATCCTGGGGTCTGCTCCAGAAACTATTTATGTATTGTGCAATGAAGAATCCTTGGATAAAATGCACAAAAGCATTGGGCTGACATCAGAAGGGGTCTCACCGACACACAGTGAGTGATCTCCCCTACAAAGCTCGGGCCTTGTCTGGCTCAGCAGCCCCAAAGGATGTAGAGTGATTGTGAATGTCCCTGCACAGACAGGGTGCAGAGGATTGGTGCCCACCCACCACTGGGAACTGTTTTTCTGCCAAAGGTGGGACAGTTTTAGGGCAGTTCTGAAGTGGCCCAGCAAACCTCACAGAATTTCTCCTGTAGAGCGTAAAAGCCTGCCTGCAAAATGAGAGGCAGGTACCCAGGCCAACTCACAAATATCACAAATTATTTACTGTAATAAGTATTTCACAGCATCAACATCATTATCAAATAGCCAACAGTTAAGAGGAAGTGACTAGCAGTTTCCTGTCTTTG